CCTGGGAGCTTTTTGTTCTGCTCAAAAGGCTTCCACAATGCCACTGAAGCATATTGTGCCTGTGCAGATGCTGGTGGGGAGCGCCTGCAGCACTTGAGACTGCAGGAGCAATGTCAGCGTTTGCATTTTTGAGATACATACTACATTTTCAAGCAATTCTGCTCATCTCTACTCCTGCTTTCCAGCAGTCTGTCTCTCACTTCACTATTTCAAGTAGGTCATCAACAGCATTACTTACTGCCCTCTCCCCTCTCCTCCATCATTCAAAGCAGGCTGTCCAGGACACAGCATTTTTGCCACGCTTGGGTCGCCTTTAAACCCTGTTCTGGAAATCTGCCTTTTAATTTGACCTGTGCAAGCAAATTGCCTACGTAAGTAACACTGTCACATTTTTATAAGGGAGCAAAACATTTTGCAGTGTCACTGAAGTTTATGTGAAGCAACGCAATATAGATGGTTCCCTCACGTGGAGAATTGCTGAACAAAGGCTGATGAAGTGCAAATGTCAAGAAAAAGTCTTCAAACCAGACCTTTCATTTTGGAACACAGCGGTGACAGTTATTAACACCATCAATCAGGTTGGAGCTATTGCTTTGGCACACACTCATGCCTAGTGGGACTGACACAAGCTCGAGAACAAGGCCATGGTTACAGGCAAAGAAAAAGCTCTTGGGATTCATTTTCTGTTGACTTGCAAATGTTTGGTCTCTGTTTTTGCAGTGACTGTGCTCGAGATTGGTTTAAACAGCTCCCAAATACAAAGTGCAACCACTCACACAGATATAAATGACTTACGGTTCGGAGTGGTGGAAATTCAGCCCACATATGTCTCATGGGAGGAAAGATACAGGATGAAATTGCAAGATGGTAGAAATATCTGCTAATTCTCTCCTCAGCTTTCACCATAGCAGTGGAGGCAGAACAGCAAAGCTTATCACTCAAGATGAGCTGTAGTGTTTTTACTTTCACACAAAACCTCCCACAACGTCAATATAACTTCCAAGAACACTGGATCTGATGAAGTCTGGTTTCCTAAGGACTTCCATTGCATGGCTGACTGACTTGGGAGTTTAATAAGATCCAACATGAAATGAAGCTTTTCCTGTGAATGGGGCATTTATTACATCCTGAGTGGAATCTCCAGAGTTTAATAAAAGAAAGCTTATGCTGTAATATTTCGTTTTGAAAGGGCACTTTAGGTCTCTGTCCTCCAACTGGACTAATATTTTTTATGGAACGTGTAGGAATTTAATTGTTCTGAAGGTTGGTGTTTCTCTACAAATTGGTTTGAAATTGGCCCAAGATTTTGATGATTTTGATTAATTGTGAGGAAAAGAAGACTGGCAAACAGACAGACATACCAACACATCGTGCTCTCATTTGCTATCAGTAACCAGAGTAAAAAAAATATCTGTACACCCCAGGCATGTGCAAACACTCAGAGAGTGGTAGGAGAAGGTAGGAGGGTAGGAAGGTAGGAGATGTAGCCAGTAACTCTGTTCTCTCCATTTGTGCTTCAAATGGATGATTTGGTATAAGATGCAAAGGTATAAGGTTCAAAATGGGTTTACTCATCATGGTTAGGCTTCGCGAACGAAGATTTGAGAAGGGCTCTACCCACGCTTGCTATTCAGGGGTTCAGAGGCAGCATTTTCAAAAAATATGACCAGTTCTGTCAGGTAGTGAAATAACTGGTTTTAATGTAGGTGTCTGCTAAGATCTGGGTGCCAATAGGGAGTGTTGAGTACATACACATAGACATTCATTAACATAGCTCTGAAGAGCCACTTTCTTTAGATTTGCTCCTTATCAACTAATCAAAATGATCTGTGCTGAGAAGAAGAGTCATCCAAGTTTTATACATGCCAAAACAGTACTGAGAACGCTGGCATACCACATAAACACCTCAACTGAATGTCCTTTTCCTTCTAAATTCAGATTAACATCCCCTCGGTGGAGTATGAGATCAAAGTAATTAGTCAGAGCTTGGTGGGTTATTTGCCACAACATATAATCTTTCCAGCCCCAGCTGTCCTTCCCTCCCCCGGTTATGAATGAAGAATATTATGCTTAAGAAGGAGAAGGTGGTGAATAACAAACACAGAATGATTAATAAGAAGGAATACCATGAAAACTGATATTGGAATAAATGATTAAACCCTTTCATAATCAACTCATTTATTAAAGTGAATGCCTTTAAGTGAAAGCTTGTCATTTATGGTGGTGTTGCAATGGACTCTATGTGTTTACTCCAAGAGTACATTTTTGTACTTCAGTAAATTAAGAAATACTGATTTTGGGCAAGTTGTTGATTTTATTGTCAGAACAAATTTAGCTTTGAGAAATGATTTTATTAACCTATTTCATAAGTCCCTATAAACCCACAATTTGTGAGCAACCCACATTCTCTTGATTTAAATGTCATTTGTAACTTAGCCAAAAAGTAATTTAAGTGGAGATGGGCCAAATTCATTTTTCATTTATGTTTATGCCATTCTGGAATAAACTCAGCAGTCTTGCAAGGATATACAATTGTTTCTGACTAAGTGAAAATATCATACTCTTATTTTCATTGATATAATTCCAGATTAACATGCTTGGCTTCAAGGGGATGTGATTATTTCACAGGGTTTCTGCTTATCAGCAACAATTGTGGAAGAAGATGATTGAGCAAATATGATACAGTTACTTTTCAGAACGTGCATTCTTGGCATTTATTTCATGTCTGTGATTTACTGTGTTTGTGAAGAACCTCAAAGGTGTGGATTTTGGGAAAAATTTCAATGAAAAGGTTTACTTAAACACTCACAAAACAAATCCTCAAAAAAGAAATGCTTCCAAAAGCTCTACGTTGCAGATTGTCCACAATATAACTTCACTTACCAGTGAGTAATTATACAAAAAATTATACAATATCACTATCCTTAGAAAATGAGACTGTCCACTTTTTAGATATATATTTATATGATGCAATTTATAATTTTTTTGTTAGAATATTTACTCTACACATTGACAATTTAACTGAAGATTACCTCAATCTATATTGAGATATTGGGAAATTTTGATTTCCCAGAATGCTGAAACAATTTTAAGAAATGTGATGGAATATTTTCCTGTAGGTGCTGCAGCATGGAAATACCTGGACCGTTCATGGAAAAAAAAATGTTTATTTCTGCTTCTATGAAAAGAAGGCGCTTCCCCAGCTGAATGCTAATATCCCAAGAGCAATATGAAGAATAATTCACTCTATGACATGCTTTTTCTTGTCTATGACTTTGCAGAAGCCCATCCTCCATTGCATTGGAACTATATTGTAGAGTGAGGTAAACTAAACCTGTTTCTGTCAAGTACCCAGCCTACCAAAAAATAGGCTTTCAGGGCTATTTAAATCTACTTACAAATTTAGCATATTTGATTTCAGCCCAAAACATTTACCTTTTTAATTTAGTTCTAATTAAAAAAATAAATAATTTTATTTCTGCACTTGCCAGACCCCCTGCTGAAACTCATTTGCTTACAGGGTATTTGCATTTTTCAAAAGGAAATGAAACCTATCAAAACCCACCATTTCAGATTTAGTGAGACGTTTTGTTACCGAGCAAAATCAGCAAAAAATTGAGCACAAATACACAGCACGAATTATGTGGCCAGCAAAGTGATTATTTGTACAGCCCGAGACCGCGGATCAGAAGGAGAAGGCGGGGAGCAGACGTTGCACCTGGCGCCCTTCCCTGCACCTCAGAGGTATCTAATCTGGTTATGGAGGCCCCAGGCAGTTGTCAGATGTATCCAAGGAGCAAGGAGATGTGCTCCAGGCAGCTTGGAGCTCCATGAAGCCTCGCTCCTGCCAGCTGGGTATGTGGCATTGGAGCGGGAGCCCTGCTGGCTGTAGGGTCTTGCTCGTCCCCTGCAGGACTGGCTGGCCTGCAAGGAGAGCTGCCAGAGCAGAAGCCAAGGTGCCTAAAAGCTGTATGAGCTTAAGACAATTACCAGGCTAGTTTAAACTTGGGTTTGACACAACTAAGCCAATTGATCCTGTTCTGCTTTACATGGAATAATGATGCATCTACTGGACTTGAGACAATACAAAGACCTGTCTGTTCCAGATCTGGTAACAAGGAGGCTGAGGTTCCCTTCCCCACATTTGCATACACATAGTGACATGTGAAATGGAACATGGACACATTTTCTGTTTTGATTCTAGTAATAAAATCCCCAAGTGCTTTTGTGACAGCAGCATTACACCCCATCATTTCATCCTATGAAATTTGACCCCACATTCTTCATGTATGTGAATGCAAGGCCACAGTCACCTGCTACTTAGAAGTGAGGAATAAGCTCTTACCATTGTTATGCATTGTATTTTAACTGTGATTTTCCAGTTGTGAAGGACGGAGGAAAGGGCAGGGAGAAAATGAAATGCAAAATTAACATGATCCTGGTTATTAGCTTACATAGTCCATAATATTTCATTATGTCACTTGAATGCCTAAAGATTTTTTTCAAGTACAGCTTGAAAAAGCTGATTAATTCAAGTATTTCTTGGCAAAGGCCAAGCCCTTCCTTGTGCTGTCCATAAGCCTGGCTCACTGACTAGTCAAGAGTGTCATTTATGTTTCTCCATGATTATCCATATTTCTTTTTTAGCATAAACAAGAGATGTGATAAGTGTCTTTTAGTCCTATTTCTTTTACCGTGCTCTTGACACAAGAACTGAAAAGCATTTTGAGAAATCATGCAGTAGCTTCACCACAATACTGCAGTGGTGTAATAAGCCCCTCTAAATACTTACATGATACCTCCTGGGAAAAAAATTAAGTGTGGTTTTGCATTTATACAATACACCTTAAAATGATCACGTGAATGGAAGATCATACCGTGCAGTTCAGAATCGTCTGACCCATCCAGCATATTTGACATACAATCCTGGTACAAGAAAATAAGTTATCTGTCTCTACAATGTGTATAAAAGTGACAACACGTTAAAAGCAGGTGCCTACCTGAGTGATGTCCATTCCAGAGTCACAGCTCAATGGCTGGGTTGATGTGAGGCCGTTCGATCCTATTATTGTTGTGATCATACCATTCTCATCAATTTTCCGAATCATAGTACCATCAACGAAGTAAATAAATCCGTGCTTATCTACAGTGATACCTGGAAGAAGGGGAAGGGTAAAAAATGGTGTTAGTACTAGAATTATCTTGATCAAAAAGTATGAGCTTAAAATGTTTCTTCTCCTCTTAGACTCTGAAAATCTGACTCCAAAAAAGTATGACTTTCCCCGCCATTACTATTTGAAGCTTATACACACTGTGTATGGAAAAATCATATCCATATATCAGGCTGGTTTTGGCTTAAGGGGGGAAGATATAAGGGTGAAACAAAAAAAACTCCAGTTTGTTTGCAATGTAATTATACATACAATTCTACATATGTAGAATGAGGCTCTTCAATAACTCCATATCTGTCACAAAGTGGGCAAGACTAGCTTTTCTAAAAACTTACTTTACAGTTCATTTTTCTTCATTTTCATTTCACTTTCTTAATTGTCATGCAGAGCCAATATTTTTAATTACTGCACTGTCTGAATGATCAGAGCATCTCAGCAAGGAAGAAGCACCCTCAGAAAGCAAAAGAGACTTCAGTCCTGCTATGGGCTGTACATACAAATGGTGCAAACCAGGTCCTGCTCAGCAGGGAGATGGAACCCCTGTGCTGCAGAGTGTGTTGCAGTGCAGTTCTGCCCAAGGCACTGGTCATGCACTGGAACCAGGCTCATGACAACTGTGGCTATCAGCGGGAGCTAGGCCAGTTCTCCCTCAAATATTGAAAATATAACTAGAAGAGCAATTCTATTCATGTTGGGTTTGTGAAATCCTTTCTACCAAAACTGCTCAATTTCTTGCTTTAAACTACTTCATCATTTCCCATTTAAAGTTGCATAACTTTGCAATTATAGCAGCTGCTGTGCACAGCCAAGCTATTTTAATAATGAATTTATGTTCTGCTACACAGAATAAAAAGCAGAGAACTTGAACAGATGGTTTGGACAGTGGCTTATATGGTTCTTGATTTTTGTCCCCTGCATTTAGGACAACTGAAGGCTGCATGTACTCTGAGTTTACAAAATACTTGTCTGCACGCCAGTTTAGGATCTCACCCAGCAATTCCATATACCAGTAAAAATTAAAATAAAAAAAACACTGAATTTCCTTACCTATCAACTCCATTTTCTTATACTTAATTTATTATTTTTTTAATATATAGGAGCAGTTGTTGCTTGGGTAAAGGAAGATTAAGCAGCCTGGGGGGCAGGGACAGGACCAGGAAGCCCTGATGCAGAACATGCATCTCCCTTGGGGCTGGTAAAAGCAGGGGACAGTCTACCAGGCCCTTAAATAAATCTTTACAGTGTTAACACCCAGGAGCAGGCTCCTGAGACAAATTGCCCATGACTGCTTCTGAGGTCCCTCTTCACCACTGGTGACATTCAGACCTTGCAAAGGTCTGAGGGTATGATCACAAAGTTCTAAGAGAATCATCACACAAAAAATCCGAAAGCCACAGCAGTTAACTTTAGTGTCTAGTACTCACTACTCCCTACTGTCTATCAACACAGAAACTAATTCTTTTAATTGTCAGTTCAATGTATCCATCTTGCCATGAACTGCCATTAGAAGAGGGGTATTCACCATCCTGACACCTCCTCCCTCCAGGACAAAAGGTGCCCATAGACTGCTGAAGTGCCCAAGATACAGGGCTGGGCTACATCTCTTCCTTATGCAAGATAGCTGATGACTGAAATGTCTGGTTCTCCAGGACATATGTCACCTGGGGAACTGAAACCACCTGGTGGGACTGGATGGGTCAGCTGGGGAAATCTGGGAGGTTATAAAAAGGCTAAAGAAGAGCTGACAATCTTAGGACCTGACTCCCTGCCAGCCTGCGAGCTCACAGATCGTGACTCCTTGGTACTGGCTCCTTCAGAGGATCTTCAGTCTTTAATTAAAAAGTAACAACTGACAAGGTCCTGGCTGTCCTCTGCTTCTGAAAAGTCCAAACCTGAAAGGCTGAAGGTTTGAAGGTGAGCTGAGGTAAAGAGTGTGTCTAAGCAGCAAAGGGGCTTGTTTTGGTGTCCAAGGGATGACCTGTGTGCTCCAGTTTTAGGAAGGGATGGTCCTTTGTACCTAGAAATGTTGCAGTGAAGAGAACTGTGCACACAAAAGGCTGGAATTAGCTGGAACTGTGCACACAGTGCTGGAGCCAAGGGCACCTCCTACTGCTCCTGTTGGGATGCTCAGAGGTTCCCTTTCCTGCCTGGGCTCCATCCTGCCCTGAGAAGCTTTATGCTGTAAACATGAAGTACGCAAAGGGATTGATAGTAGAGGGAAAAGTTGCTAGGAAATTCTTCTAGGGTGTTTTCTGCAGGGTGTGTGAAGGTTAAAAACAAAGATCTCTTCAGTCCCAGCCTCCTCCTACATTCTTGAGAAGAAAAAGCCATGCTGGGCTGCAGCTGGGAGGGTGTGAGGAGCAAGGACCACTGTATGTGGTGCTGGGCATGTTTCAACCTCACTGATATTGCATCATGTAGTGATGTTAGATGGGATTTGATTTGCTTCCCAGTGCAGTTCTCAGGCTGAAATGAGAAACCTGATGTGGGTGGAAAGGGCAGCACATGTGCTGTGTCTGAGCCTGCCTTTGCGGAGGGGAGATGCTGCACGGTAGGCGAGGAGCTGTGCTTGTCAGCTGGATCAGATCCACGCCACGGATAACACAAGGCCAGGATCTATCACTAGGGCAAGTGCATCTTCTGTTTTGTGCAATTTCCCTGAGAACAGATGGCTGTGTTGGCTGCAAACCATCCATTATATAAAAATCAGAAATTATGCTGCAACGAAATAAAGCTACTCAGCTGTGTGGCTGAATGGATTTCAAACACTGACTATATAAGAAAACCAAAGATCTTTTAACGTTACTAGAGTCCATGCTGCTCTCCAGCCGTGGCAGAAAAGCAATTATCTACAAGGGAAGTACATATGCCAGTGTGATGGCATAAACAAACCCATGTCTTCAGTATTTGCACCAAATTCCTGGTATTTCCTAATAAGCCAGTTTCTTCAAGTACCAGTGTATAGATGTTCAACAATGACCTACTGCTTCCAGAGCTTATGACTCTATAGCAAAACAACAGGACTCTACCTACCTGAAAAATTACTTATTTAGATTTTGATGACAAATACCCTACATAAGGCATCCTATTGGAAAACAAAATACAGATTTCTGGCTAAACTGTCCCAATTTATTCATTAGAGTTGGAATCATTAATGCTCCTGTCACATCTTGCATGATGCTTCACATAATCTGTACACCAAGAGCTTATTTTTAATCCTTTTCTGACGTACAGTGTAACGCTGAATCAAATCACACACAGCACTGCAACTGTGCTTTAATCACCAAGGAACTGGGGGAGGAAACATGCACATGCTGAGGGTAATGAATTGGACTGAGTGCAAGTAGGAACACTGCTCACTCCAGGAGTGAGGAAAAAAGGTAGTTTTTAGGTATCTTTTTTTTTTTTTTTTTTTTTTTTTTTTTGGTACAAAGAAGGAGATGTAGTTTATACTGGACTCTCAGTTTGATTCTGTTTTTTTAAGGAACTGTAGCACTAAACTCTATGCCCAACCGAGGATGCCTTTGGGCACTAAAGTGACCTATTGCACAAATGACACACTTACCCTGCTTGCCTATAGATTCCTCACTAAACACTGATGCCTGGGTAAGGTAAGGACAAAATAAATTTGTGCCAGGATTTAGCCTTGTTGTTTGACTCAGAACTGAATACCAATCTCACTTTCTGAGTAACGCTTGTCCTGCAGGACTGTTTTTAGTCATGTTTAGTCACTGGGACTCTCCTCCACAGGAGAAGATTTGTACCTGAACATAAACCAGTAGCTCTTATGAAGATCTATCTCCAGTGGACTTACATGCAGACATCTTAGAAAAATATTCATAATACTCAGAGGTCTTTTAATCAGTACTATTTGAATTCTGTTAACAAACATTAAACTTAACTGCTGGTAATGCAGTCACACATGGCTACTAAGTATTATCACTAGAAACACTCTGAAGAAAAGTTTTGCTTTAAATGTTTTCTCCAAAAATAGTACTTAGGAGATGGGCTGGGTATACCCATGATAAACACAGAAGGCTGACTATAACCTCTTCTGTTACATGCACTCTTTTGGTTAAAGGGTTATTTCCCTTGACAGCTCTGCCTTAGTGCACCATTATAAAGGCAAATAGCACCTAGAACGCAAACTGATTTCTTTTTGTGTAATTCTCAGAGGTATAAATTCAAAATACATATCATCTTTCAGTCTAGAAATTTTGGTATTTCAGCATTAATGGAGCTAAGCTTACAGTGTTAAAATATGGATTAAAAGTAATACAGTAAATTCCACATTAAGATATTTTCTTTGCTTTTTTCCCACATCATATCCCACACCTGCACTCTAAAAGAATCTTTTTGGGAACAAATCCTTTTCAAACACAGTGAAGAGCAGCTTGAACTATTTATTGCCCACTTCTGGAAATTCTACTTTACATTTTTTGCTCAGCTGAAAACTTGCAAATGAGCATTCTATATTGAAAACTTCTAATTAAACTTCTGAAGAATTTGTAAAACAGCACCTAAAACTACTGGTGAGGATGGATAAAAGAGAATGCCACCTTCTGCTGAAGAACAATTGTATTTAGAAGGAACTTGAGATTCTCATAAAACTTTTAATAGGAAGAAGTGAATCAAATTGGTTAATTACCATTTTATGGTGGTAAAAGGGCAAATTACATGCCATCCATTTCTAAACTTCTAAATGTCTTTGGTGCTTTTAATTAAAGCTGCCATCTAGAAACTAAAGCAATTTTATGCAATTAGTTATTTATAGGTTACCATAATACACCACTCAAAATATGATTCAAATGATTTGCAGTCTCTTGCCTTGTGATCTTTGTCATCTTTACTTCATTACTGTCTCAGTACCAGATGCAAAATATTCAGTAGTTCTTTGTCAGCTGGAACACGGCCTCGGTACTTGCACTTGAGTGTTGTTCTCTTTAGATGCAGAACAGCAGATTTGGAGCAAACAGCATTTTTAACTACTGACAGCAAATGGAAATGTTCAGCTTCCAGCCTGAGACATGATGATTGGGGTCATGCTTACTGCTGACATGGGAGAGCAGAAAAGTGAATAACTAATGAACTCAGGGAAACGTTGGATAAAATTTAGGAAAGCTTGCTGTCCAAAAAGTTTACAATGTTCTACAAGATCACCATACTTTGGAAATCATACTACAGAGAAACATAAGGAATAGGTTTTGCTGAATTAAAATGGCACAAGATTATTTTTTGCTGATTCTATGATTTATATATGACAATGACTTGAGGCTGCAAATCACCTGTCTTGTCTACTTCTAACTTTATGTATTGCTAGTGAAACATCTCACTCTGTTTTATTTCCCTTCTTGAATTCTATGGAAGGGTTGAAAAGGTCTTAAAAATTTACAGAATAGTAAAGATTGCTGTAAAAATAGCATTGGTTATTACCTTTGGAATGGGTGGATTTATTTACACGAAAGGCTGGATTAGAAATTTGGTGTGCATCCTGCTGAAGGTAAGAGGAATGTTCTAGCTGAGCAGGAGCAGCCCTAAACAGGCTACTGCCATTTGACAAATCTAGAGGTTTAATCTGAGCAGCTGTTCTTATAGATTCTTTTACTTTAGAAAGCACTGCTGAGGATGGTGAGCAACAAGACTGATTATTTCAGGATGTGAGATAGTGGGGTGAGCATATCCTTAAACCCATGATTTTTTTAAAGAAATATTTCCTTAGTAAAGTACTTGCAAGCAAAATAAATAAAACTATGCTGCAGAACAGATATTTTAATTAAGCTTTCATTTGTGTTGCTATCTCATGCCACAGCTCTGAGTGAAAGAGTTCTTTGCTACAGGTATGTATAAAGTATTTTTATGCATGGGATTTGGAAGTTTCTCCAACCTTTTACGTTTCCCTGGGGCTTGCTTTGAGGTCACTGCATCTGCAGTGAGGTCACTGCACTGCATTCAAGTACTCTGTACACAGTGTGCAGTCTGTAATTTCTCGAGGCATTGACCACACATGGTTTGCCCAGACAGTGTGTGCATCTGTCTTCTAGAGTCTGGTGTGGACCCAGGAGTCAAAAAGTAGACACTGCAGGACCTTAAATGTTTAAATCTTTAAATTTAGTCCTTGGGCTTCCAAAAGCTGAAAACTACTTCTGATGTTTAGGGTGCAATCATTGGAGGGGACCTGCTGTTTTCACAGTTATGTAGTTTGCATTTCCACCACAGCTGTCCTGTGTGAATGCTCTGAGCTGGTCACAAATCCAAGGTGATTGAAATCGGATGTTAATCGGACACTTTCCTTATCGTGTTGACCGGGAGACACTGTAGCTCAGCAAAAACGTGGTAACTTGATTGTCTCAGCCTCTCACTGCCTCTGTCAATTAAGCTTAGAAAGTCAAATCCATTTACACATCTAAAGCCTTCTGATTTCAGCAGGGCAGTGTAGGTAAGTGTTTAATGGTGTTGATTCAAGAACTGGCTTTGCAGTGCTAAGTACAACAACTCCCAGGTATTTCCATTCATTTTAGTGCTTCTTACTGCTCCAATATTCAATGACTAATCTAGTTAAAATCAGGACATTATCCCCTAGTGCCTTAGCATAAACAGTAATCAGATTGTTTAAATGATAGTGTTGGTGACTAGATGTACCATAAATATGTTTTATTAAAAAAATTCCCAAACCCACCAAACAGAATTCCCCACCCCAAAATTAAAATCTGTTACTTGGTAAAGTTCAAGTGATCAGAATTCAGTCAATGATTAATATCTTGTGTAGTTACTTCTTCATTTTCAATATCTTCTTGTGTAATAAATGTGTTCAGCTTGTCACAGATCTTATTTTATATCTCCACCTTGTATCATTTCACATTCTGCTTAAGTACTTGGTCATCTATTACATGACTCATTAGTCTGAGATCTCTACAGAATTAGAGAAAGTTGCAGTAAAAATAATATATTGAAGTTCAAATTTCAACTACATCAGCCATGCATGTTTAAAAGCATCTTTCAAAGTCAGCTCAACATACAATAGTGCAAGATTAATGTTCACTAAGCCCCATCTCCAGTCCTTCACAGAGAATTTGGAACAGACCAAACAAAGCTATGTGTGTTTGATACCTGCAAAATGAAAGTTGTGGAAAGATCAAACCATAATTGATTAGTGTGACTTCATGACGTTTTCCTGTCTGGCATTTAATTCCTGGCCACTAGGTAAAGGCAGTCTTCCCAAATAAAGATCATGAGAGATAAAAGTTGATGAAAGACTTAAATCAATAAATAACAATCTAGGACTCTCCTCAGATCTCCCTGCAAGCCCAATGAAGTAGAAAAATAAGTGCAAGTTCAGAAAAGTTAAAATGCAATTTGAAACAACTTTTATTCAGAGAAATAAATAAGAAGTAGAATTTGAATTTCCATTTCTTAACGTACTTCTGAGGATGTTACCAAACAGATTAGGTTTCACAAGTGTTACACAGTAGGTATTTCTTACCAATTTTGCAAATGGACAAACTAAGATCTCTAGATAAGCCCTTATTCTGAGTCATAAGCAGCCAGCAGCAAAAATTAGAGTACAACTTTTAAGATGTAACTAACCAAGGTCAGACAGCCACTAAATGGAGTTCTTTTCCAGATATTACCTTTCTACCAAGTAAGAGGGAAATTTATTTTTCATTTCTAACAGGGAAAAAAAAAAGAATACTCAGGACGAAAATAAGAAGGTAAATGGAGTAAAAAAGCTAAAAATATTTCTATATCAGCTTAAAAAATAAATACTAATCTTGTCTGGTCATTGAGTAATGCAAGTGATCATATTTAATCATCTTTTGGCAATTACTCTGTCTGCATTATCAGGGATCTATTGTTGCACCATAAAAATCTCTGTTGTGTGGCAACAGGTTGATGCTGCATTTTGCTAGGCCCTGTACAAAGTGGGTATGTGGCACTCCATAATTCCTAGAGATTAAATAAAAAACTTAACAAACCTGACCATTCAAGTAGCTACATAAATCAGAAGCAACTGGGAGTCATTGGCACTGAACGTGCCAATATAGGAATCATTGTCTAGTGACAGTTTATTTTTTTAATAATTGCTGGCTACCCCAAGACTCCTGACTCATAATTTTATTCCTCTGAATTTCTTTGTGATTAGAACCTTCTGATAAGGAAGTCAGCTATGTATGGGCATCTCTAAGTAAAGAGCATCTCTCAGATTTTCATCAGCATATTTCCCCAATAAGAAAATAAAATGGAACAACCAATTGTATTGTAATTGAGCATGATCAATTGTAATCAGCAATAAAACATCAATCACTTTCACAGAGTCACACTTTCTAATAAGGGATCTGAAAACCTTTTTCTTATTACTATTTTTAGAATTGATTAATTACATTAATTAGGTGCCTGAAGATTAACATTTATTTGTACTTACCTCACACTTTCTATTGTTAAAGACACATTAAAGTCACTCTATAATTACAATGTGTCTCTTGCTAAGCCTTAGAACCGGATTATTTACTTGTCTTAGAGGTATTTCTGCCTGGATATACATTCTAATTTCCTACTGATGTACAGGTCTCCTTTATTAGCTCAGGAAAAGTAATCAAACCCCTTCCTCACAGCCAGTCACGAGGCGGGAGCGGTGTGTGCGGGGGAAGCGCGTTAACAGCCCACGCAGGGCTCTGCCTTGGGAGCTGCTGAGCACCCTTTGTTCCAGGGATTTCAGTGGGAGTTGAGGGTGATCAGCTGCTTTAGAGCACCAAATCCAGAGACTTTATCACAGTCCTAACGCATACCGCAAGGGGATTAATTGTGGCTTTGGTGGGGATTCAAGGCTTCACATGCATTTTGCCTCTGACAATACTGGATGTACTCCGACAGGACGGCTGCAGCAAAATGCTTATTTCATGTGCAGCAAGGGAGTTGCTCATCTTTTTCAAAGTGTTGTAATAAAAAAGGACAAACTAGAGTTCCAAATAAACTTGATTTTGCTGGCTGTCTGACTTGAACAGCTCTGACTTAAAGTGTATGAGTAAGCTCTGTTAACATTACAAGACTCACCTGAATGCATAAAATTTAAAAAATGGACTTTGAAACCATATAATTTGCTTAAGAGTTAGATATAATTAAATGCTGCCACGGTGCAATTGAAAGGTTATGAAAGAGGAGTGTTGTCACACAGGTAGGAGTATTCACAGGATGCTAGTTGGAGCATGCTGCCCATGCTAGTCCCTCATAAAGGACTGGTTGTATTATTGATGTGAGTGAGCTATATGAAATGATTTGGTTTGCTAATAGTTGGTTATATTATTGTCACAGACCCATTTTTGTACATCCAGTTGCATCTAAATTCCTAAACAATGGAAAGAAATGACAGGTGACTAACACCAAATACTTCAGATCTGGTCTTTTCTTACCTCTTGGGCTGTTGAGAGAGGCCTCGGACGCCTTTCCACCATCCCCACAGTGACTCTGGTCAAATGGAAGGCACTGATCACCTGTTCCTGCCACCACATCTGCATTTTTGGCCAGATCCTTTGTTTCAGTGAGAGATTTTGCTTTGTAGACCTTTCTGGTGTTGGTATCTGATAAGTACAGGGATTCTGACACCGGATCAACGGCCAAGTAATATTTATGTGCAGGGCTTGTACTGAAACAGAAGAGAAGAGAATCACAGTCAACTTGTTTTGCTTTTACATCTCTGTGGCATAACAGTTGTATTCTAATTATCTGAAGACATCTGCTCAGTGATTTTAAGAGGACAAAGACATAAGTGAGAGCAGCTTTAATGCGGGTCATGCAAAGCACCACTGCTAAGAAGGAAGGAGCTTGTCCTGGTTGCAGAGCCTGCCCAGCCAGCTATGGGGCAGTGACTGGTGCAGACTGGTACTACGTGACTTTCTCCATCAGTACCAAGCCACTCAGGATAAAGCTAACTGGAGTGACTTCAGCTTAGTTATAATTATTACTATCAAAAGCAAGGTCTGTATATTTTTCTATATCTGATAAGTCCTAGTACTCTGAGCACTGAAAACAAATCTAAGAGTTGCAGCAAACTGAATCACAGATTGTTCTGCATGGGCAAAAATGCCCACTCTTGGTTATTTTTATCCATTTCTAAACCTTAGGAAATATGAAGGTGTGAAATATGTTGCCTTAATTCATGCCGACTGTATTGTCATGAGCAAGGCAGAAGGCCAAGTACTGTCAGTGCAACTAAGCATGAATTAATGCACCATAATTCATGCACTGTCAGTGCCTTATTGAGATTATAAAATGTTATATAAAAAAATATTTACATATGTTAATTAAATGGTGGGGATCAGAAATTCCAACCGGAGAACTGGGCTACATTTTATCCAGTAGGACTTTTTGTTTCTTTTTCAGCGCAAAGTTAATTTCCAGTTTGAGGAAACTGTCCAAGCACATGGCACACCATGTTGGTGTCCTGAACCTGCTGAGCCTGCAGTGGAGCCTAACTAAAAATCCAGACAGGAGGAGATTCTTTAAATTACACAGTTGGTTACTGAAATGGTGGGAGAGAGGTACAGGCTGAGCATTTAGGTGCTCAGACAGTATTTTCATCATTGCCATGTTTCTCTGAGGGGGAGATTTCTGATAAGTGGCTGGGCCCTAGATGGGACTTTTCTGCTCTGTAGATTAAAAAGATTGTCAAAAATCCCCCTCCTTTTTTTTTTTTTTTTTTTTTTTTTTTTTTTTTTTTTTTTTTTTTTTTTTTTTTTTTTTTTTTTTTTTTTTTTGTGAAAGAGATATTTTATTAACAGTGGTACAATTAAGTAACACTTAAGATTGGTGCAACAAAGTTGTGAAAGGAGTTTCTCCTCTCAGCTTTGCAGTTCTGTTTTTGTTGGGTTTGACAATGCTTGGTGATATTCCCACAGCTGGGGAACACATGTGAAACCCAGTCCAAGGAACCGCAGGGAATGAGAGGGCAGTGATATGATGAAAGATGAGTAAGAGGATGAGCTAAAAGCAATCAATGCCAAAGTATGTATCACTACTACAAAATTGTTTGTTAAAAATATCGAGAATCATTTGTGCTCTCTGGATTGAGGTCAGGAGAGACTAGCCAGTCATAGGATGAAAATAAAACACTTCTATGAAAAAAGTTGCAAGGAGAATTCTAGATTTTAAATAAACATGTTGTTTAGTATGCAGAAACTGCAGAGAACCGGGGGTCACTATATACTCTCCATGTCGACACATTTTCTGTCAACCTTGTCATTACATTTAATAGACCAGCTGTTAGAAAACTCTTCATGTTTATGCTTAAAGCCTTGCATACTAAAATCTTTAAAGAGTACTAGTAAAAAATGGAAGACAATAAAATACCTGCTATTGCTACAGAAGACTGTAATCAGACCTAAATCTGAGTTGATTTAATTTATTCTGTTAAAAACTGTATGAAATAGACTAGGATTTACCATAAATCTTTTCAGAAGTAGTTATTACTATTCTGTACTAAATTTTTCCCTATAACCCCAAAGTCTAGTTTCTGTTTTTACCAGTTATTAAACAGCTTTGTTATATCTTATTAAAATGCTGGTGACAAGAAAAACAAAGAGGGTAAGTTGCTTTTAAACACTCACAAATAAGACCAGTGGCTCTCTCTGTTTACTGGTCTCCAAACTCCCCCCTTTTATGCAGTACTTTCTTTTCCCTGGTAAAAAGAACACTTTTCCCCTGCTTGTTTGGGGACTAAAAGTTGTGTAGAGGTGCTGGATTTTCAAGCCTTTTCCTGCCTGGACTGTCATGAGCCATCTTTCAGTTATTGCTTCTACATATTTCCTTGAGCATTCTAGAAATTTCTACCATGACTGTGACCTTTACAGCCCCACAAAATGACATACAGTGAGACTGTCAAGTAATCCCCTATAACCTCAAAGATTACATTAACTACAAGTGATTTCCTTCAATTTTCCACAAATTTCACTTGGACAGAATAGTGACAGAGACAGTTACTATTGTAATTAATAGGGCTGGGGTACTTGAGTATTGTCACAATTTGATATAATTAAGGTTTAAGCTCATCTCAAGAAACTAGTACGAGTGAACAGGTATTAACAAAAATCTGCTTTTCAAGAGAAACCTCTAAATGTAAAAGCTGAATTATGTTCTGAATGAATTATAGAGAAAATAAATTAAATTTGGCTTTTTTTTTTTTTTTAAGTTTACAAAGATTCTGGTGAGAAGATAATGGAAACAACCTTTCAATTAAAAAAATAGAACCTTGCACTTACCAACTAGGAATTATTCTTTCTTTTTAATTTTTAATTGTAAAATATATGAGATGTGACATAATCTGGTATATAATCTATATTGTTCAATAGCATTTTTGTGGGTAGAGCAAGCAATTCTAACCAGTCCTCTCATGCTGCAGACACACCTCTTCCTACTATGGCATGAAGTTATCGGTTGATGTTGTACTAGTGCTGGATTATTTATCTCATTTAATACTGGAATGCTAAGAAGTTTGTTTCTAAGGAGACAGAGTGCCTTGCTGTCTCTTTCTAGCGTGCAACATCACTTCTGCAGCTGGATTGTTGTAACCAACTCCCTCACCGTCTGTCGCAGAAGCCTAACGGGCAATGCTCGTTCCTTTAACCAAATCCCTACATTGCAATGCTAAAACGCCAGCTGGAAAGGGGGAAAGCCACTTGCTTTGTCTTCAGCTGGAGCAGCAAGGACTGAGCCGTGACACAGCATCCTCAGTGCTGGGCTCTGCTGTGCACGCCCTGGAACTGGCAGATTTTAAAGCTCGCAGTATCCCAGAACCTCTAAAATCCTCTTGTGTGTTTCTGAAGCCTTTTTAACTATTTCTTTGCTGCTAAAACTCCAGTTTCCTTGGATGCCTCTATCTGTGGTCATTCAAACACCATGTGAAATGATTATGACAGCTATTAAATGCACTCCCCACGTTCAGGTTTAAACCTCTCCCTCTCTGCTTGGTGATCAGCAAACTGATTTTTAGAGGGAGGCTTCATTTCTTCAAAGGGAAAGAATCAAACCTACAGTACTATAAACAAAGGTGAATTTGATTAACATTTGTATTTATTAACATTTATATTTATTAAATTCAGAGTGTTTCTCTATATACAGAGTCATAAAAGGACTTTTGTAAGACTATTTCCTTAAACATGGTTCACATATCAGGGTGTCTGTGTTTTACTCACCTGTGTCTTGTGTCTCTATTCCTAGAAGGACAGATTGGTTCAGGTTTAAAAAAAAAGAAAAAGACAAGAAATGTTAGTCCTTGACAGAACTGTATTCTTTGCCTGACTGCTCACAGAGCTGTATCCCACTAACAAAACATTGTTTTTACCATTACTGGGTATTATTTCTTTCTCTCAGATTGCTTCCTTTGCACCACCTGCACATTGCCAAGTTAATTCTGAACAATCAGCACACAATCATCACCAGCAATGTTAGCTAGGTGGGGATTCATGGGTGTTAAGTGAAATAAATTTCATGTAATAATGTGTAAAATCTTTCCTGCCTTCCCCTCTGGCCCTCAAAGGGAATGGGAAGCTGGAGTCATAATTGCAGGGGAGTCATTAACAGCAGCACAGGCCTAGCCGGTGGCACGTCAGGCAATGCCAGGTTTGCTCATCTACTTAAACTCAGCCACGTCCTCTGCTACATGAGGAACACTTTTATTGCATTAATTTTAAACAGGGTAAGTCGTGTCTTCTGTGACCTGACACAATACTCTGCATGTTTGCTGTTGAATTATGGGGTTTTCTTCAAAAATATGCCTCATGGAATATTTTAACTTTTGGAGAAAATGTATGAAAAACCTCGCAGGAAGAAAAACCATCTCTATTTATTAATTCTGCACTTTGCAGAAATCCATTATGCAAGACTTGTTCCAAAGGCCACTTAACATGTCCTTTTTTATCCAGTGACTTAAAGTAAGTGTGAGTTTTCTGGTAAGTTAGTTTGATAGTTGATGAGACATGTGGTCACAAGGCAACAAGACGTGGCTGCTTCTCTAAGCCCCAAGGGATAAAAGCTCACTGCAGTTTTCATGGGCATATCACAGCCAGGATTACAGACACTGGTCAGAGAAAGAGAATTAATTTTTTACCTCAATTCCAATATGCCAATCGAGTTTCCAGAGGGAAAGATCCGTCTGACGTAGTTGAAGTCCCCAATATAGACACTCCCATCAGGGCCAGAAGCAAGGGCAACAGGGGCAAAGAGTTTGCTGTTGAGCGCGAGCCCGTTGCAGTTGGAGCAAGAGACACTTCTCTGGTGTCCATTGCCCATCACAGTGGAGATGACTGGAGGCTGCTGGGAAATGAACATGTTTTCCCCATTTCCTTTGTGTACAATTCCTAAAGGACGGGATGGGGAGGGAAGAAAACAGAGACAAAAAAAGTGAATGTACAGCATTTAAACTATCCAGCAGTTTGGGGTTATGAAATCCTCTAGAAAACCAGACTACCAAAATAGCAACAAACATCTTATCTTTTGGAGATTGTCACAGGGCTCCACTAATCTCTTCCAATTTTGTTCATCCCCAACTTCACTGTCACGATTTTGTTCATTAGTGGCTAGTGGCTATTTTAAAAGCCAACATCATGAGGAGAACTCATGGTTGGTTAATGCTCTAACAAATTGACTGTTAATTGCAGTGCTATCTGATTTCTTGGGGATTACTACCTTAATATTCATTTTATTCATAAATTTTTATTAGGTAGCAGAGGAATTTCTTGGGCAGTTTGAATATTTAATTAAAGGAGATTAATAGCAGGAATACTATGCATTTTTCACAAAAGAGCACTGAGTGGCAGTACAAAATCAATATTCAAATTTAAATGCGAGTCCTTCATGGTATATGAAAATGGTGCAAGTGCAGCAAAGCCAAGTTAAGAGTCAAATAGCAATTCTGAGGCACAAATGAATGTCTTAACAGCAGGAATATATTAAGTTCTACCATAAAGTCTAAAACATCTTCCCATCGTGCCAGTATTTTAGCCCTGCTCTGCACCACCCATTGTTGAAAGTCTTCCCCTTTACTAGGTTGGTGACACCAGAACCAGTACAAAGATGTATTTTCTCAAGCTGATTGCTACAGTGTTTATTTTAACTAACAATGTGGTAACATATTTAAGCAGTTATTTAAGATAACATGTAATTGCAAGAATTTGGCTATTGCTGAATGGAAAGGTATTCTTTTAGACCCCAGTGCAAAATCTCTTTCTCCCCTTGAGAAGCTCAGAACTTCATCAGAAAAGTGGCACAATTAAAGGAATAAACACAAGGGAATTTACTTTTTGAAGGACTCACGCTGGGAAATGAGCATATTCTAGACACTGCAGGAAGTACATGATGAGACATGCCTGAGTTTTCCCAAAGTACGGCAAATGTATTTATGTATTGTCTCTATGAACTTTTGTTTAAACTAATTATTGTGGCTTTCAGGTAAATCTGAAACTAAAATTCGCCTTAGAAATTATTGAGCACTACCACAGCTATTTTGAAGGGAATTATATTTTCAAAAAATTACTTCTGAACAATAGAGGACAGAACACATAGATTTGTTTGAATGTTGGCTTAAAAAAAGCATCCTGGAAATATGTCAGTGAAATGAATGGCAATATTCTCCCTTATGCACTGGATAAAAATACTATGAAATGAAGATGCTGCCCTTTTTCTGAAATTAACAATGTAAAGGTAATCTTTCAAGAGTCTCATACAAATGCCAGTAAATAATGAGGACTCGGGAGAATATCTTTTGCTGTCAATAAATGCAAGCATGTGCTTAATTTCAGGATTTTGAGCTGCTGCTTTAATTTTAGTTGATGCTGTGTTGCACTGGAGTTGAAATTACCTTAAAGCATAAAGTCTCTGCAAAATTAATCCTCCTTGCCCCAGATAAATAAAAATGGAATCAATACAACTTGCCCATCAGAAGGAAAATTTAATTTAAATAATACTCTGAAAAATCGGTTAATAGCACATTCATTTGTATTCATGAGATACAAGTGTCTTTAAAAGGACTCTGTGCAGGAACTAATATTTATGGTATCTGTTCTCTTCCTGATTATGAGAAATGCCTTGATGATCTTCCAAACTGACCAAAACCTTTGTACCAGAAAACATTAAACTCCAATAATGTCACAAATTAGAAGTGATCAAACCTCCAAACTGGATGGGAAAAAAAAGCAGGAAAAGAGCAGTGGAGCATAGCTGAGAACAGGATGTGATCCTCTGGCAACCCAACAGCCAGACTGATGCAAAACTGCATACTTTTAAAAAGCTTGAGTTTTCAGTGACAGCCACATTGGAACAGTATTTGTTATTTCACATCTATTCTGCTGGAATCAGACATATTTTTTTTCTTCATTCTTTCTTTCTTTTTGTAAATCCTTACATCTGGCAGGAGAACACAGTTTTCACTTGCTAAGGTTTCTGCATGCCAATACTTGTACCTCCACAGCTTAGACTGGGCTATGAAGTGCAAGTCTGCAAAATTACATCTATTTCTTTTTACAATTTCCCTGTTGCACTTGGCTTATTTTGTAGCATCTCTAAAATGAGTAGCCTTCATGGGGAGAGAGAGAATATCTACCCTGGCTCTGAGCAGGAACGTTGTGCGCAGCAACAGACCTACTGGGAGACCAGGCTCAGTGGCTGAAGTTAATATAAGCTCTTTTAGAACGAGTTAACCAAAGTACTTCTAGGTTTAGTTTGAAAATTATATTGTAATTTGCAATCAAGAATGTTGTATTCCAATGCAGTTTTTACAGACAATCCAGTGACAGTGTTCCAAAACCATGCAATTTTCATCCTTCCAAAACCAGAGGGGAACCTTCATTTAAAACTGGAAAATCTCAATATATTCATACTCGAGAAGGCTACTCAATGCTTTTCATATGGTGGTAGGCAGATAAGTCTGGAATATATAATTCTAAGTTTGAATCACATTCTTGTCCTTATTTAAAGCCCATTTTGTATATCTGAAATGGAAGAGAAGTTCACTTGTTTCTAGTTAAGACCAGAAGCACACTTGCTATTTTTATTTTTTTTTGGTTAACACAGTTCGTTATTCAGTTTTGTTGCTTAAATGAGCAACAGGCTATTAATATATGAGTTAGATGTGCACTAGCTTTCCTAGAGTAATTGTTTTTCTGCCCTTCCCTGCTTTTCCAGTTCTTATACACAAGCCAGCTGTGCATGCTCAAAGCCCATTATAATGAGCAGGAATATCTGAAACATCACCGAGCTCTGCCTGGGCTTTGTCACCCTCGCTGGAGATGCTCTGACATACAAACTGTGACCAGAAAAGACCCCCCGATTTCAAGTCAGGTGTGCTCATGCCCTCCCCTCCCCATATCATATCTCTTCAGGTGATGGACAAAAATGTCTGGCAGCTTCCCCCGACTTCAGCCTCGATCATGTCCAGCACAGTGGGAATATCTGAGGAAGAGGAGCAGGTACCAGAAGCTGCACGGTCCCCATTCATGCAGTGGGCACAGCCCAGATGATTTGAGAGGAGGTGGCAGGAGGCTGACAGGTCAGTGCTCTCTGGCATTCTCAGCCGCACAGCTGAGACAGGGACAGGAAGCAATTTGTCAGCACATACCCCGTGCTCAGGAAAGCAATGATTTAGCCCTGCTCGGATTATAATGGCACACTTTACAAAATCTCGGAACATGTTAGTGCCTATGGGGTGAATTATGGTAGTAACCACTGCAGTTAGCAGATAATCACATAAATTGGAGTTACTGCCAGCAATTTAGTCTTGAAATTAAACTATGCAAGTGGTAAATTGGCACTAAGGAGCAGACTATGGGGCTCACAGTTGGGGGCTCAGCTGACTGAGGTCAGATTTCTCTTTGTGTTAAATGTCAATAGCTGGCATTTAAAAGAGACAATCTATACAAACCAATAAGACAGGATATGAAAGAACTGCTGTTTAAAATGTCAAACTATTTTAAATCAAAACAGAAATCCAGTTAATTTACAAACTAAATCTGACCTTTTGTATTTGGAATATTTATACTGTAGCTGCGCATTCAGCTACAGAACTTGTAAAAACCTGAAAGCCATACATCTGTGCATGAATCTTCATCAACAGAAGTTTGCAGATGGAAATAGATTTTAGTGGATCGACTCTCAGCTGGAGCAAATCGAGAGAACTTTACTGAATCCAATACTCTGCTGATTTATAAGTGCTGAAATCTGACCCCAAGTTTCTCTTTTCCCTGACAGCGAGATATCTGTTTACTGGCAAAACCATATATTTCTAGTTACCATAATTTACCTACAGGTATTGTTTTAATAATTTAATCACACTGGTTCCTCATCATAGACGTTAATGGAGGAAAAGAAACCCCCCCAGGTATAAAATAAAAGCCAGGGGATTCAAGTCTCCATGCATGAAGAATCTCTTTGCAGGGTTAATGCTGACATCAAAAGCATTTACAGGTTTTTATTCCCCAATGCTTTGAAAGGTGTTGGGTTGCTTGTACTGAGGAGTAACTTACTGTGCTTCTCCACAGAGTGGGCAGCCACAATAGCTTCTGCAAACCAGACTGGCAGTGTGGTTTTGGAAGTGCTGCCTCTCACTTGGCCAGTCTGTGTTCATGCAGGGTTTGTCTCCCTGGGGCTCTGATGCTACTAACTGATGGTAGTCATAGGATGAATTAGGGGTGTAGACACTTCACTGAGAATGTAACATTACAAACTGACCTGAAATGTGGCACTTTTGTACCAGCTGTGTGTGAATGAACCTAAATTAGCGTGCCCTTTTCCCACCCAAACGACCACAATGTGATCCCAACAGTCAGTGATAATAATGCCCAATACCTGGGAGCCAGAACATTAAAAATATCCTTTCAGATGGCATTTACAGTTCAGCTCTCAATAAACATGGGTGCACAGTCAAAGAGGATTACACATTAGGAAGTGTAATGCTTAAAATCTGAACAATTAATTCCTTCAAAATTTGTATTCTTCTTATGCGTGGCCAGTTAATAAAGGAAGGACTTACCACTTTGTGGATTTAATACATGGTGTTTGTTTATAGACCAGCCACCCAGATTTGAAGCATCCATTTCAAAGCCTTGAAGGATTACTGTTCTCTTCTCCCACAGAATAAAATCAGGACATGTTTCATATTCATATCCCACCGACACTGCAAACAAATAATTAGAGAGCTCTCAGTCTACTTTTTCCTCTGTGAACTGCTAGACAGTTTTTCATTCCACGTTCTGATATTCATCTGTCAAGTAATGATGCCACTAATTTTGCTCTGCCTGATTGCTATTGTTGAACGGTATTTTTTTTGAAAAAAGGGTTTTAAGAGATTAGTATGTTATTACAGCTACAGTTACTACTGTTTCAAAGCAGAAAATTGTCTGTTGTATCACTTATAGATTTCATAAATCTCCTCCAATGACTCCTGACTTGATTGTTTATTGCATTTCTGCTAATTACCTGAATAACAGCTTAAATAAAAAAAGAATCCATGCTAAAACAAAATGGTTTTAATTTGTTTGCTGATTGTAAATATTATAGTTAGGCAGAAATGGATCTACAAGCTGAACATTTCTAGAATTCTATATTTATCTTACCAGGCTTGCACACCACCAAAATACCTGCTGAAAAATCTTGAATTTCCCTAACAGTGGTGGGTTTTAGGGGCACTGAGATTGACCAAAATCCCTTTCCTTTAGTACTTCAGTAAAACAAATTAAAAAAAAACTCTTAAAATTTTTGGTTTCTCTAAAATACCAACCTTATTTTAAAAAATTATTTATCTCCTTTACTTAACCTTATTAGATTTCAGTGAAACTTATTCGTAAAGGAAGAATACTGACACCAAATTCCAAAATTTGACCAAGGAAATACTGAGATAGTTCAACCTTTCCAAAATAAAAATGTCTTTCAAAAAATATTTTAAGATACAAAATAATAAAAAAAATACTAACCCCCCCCAGTTTTCTGGCATTTTTAATAGTTTCTTTTCACTTTCTCTATGTAGCAGCCTTAGGTATACTTTACTTAAACCATAAATAGTTTTAATACCATCTAAATTCCATTAGGGAAGGCAATTAAAATATTTTTACCAGCCCTGGCAGGGAGCACTTGTGATTGTAAGATAAATGTTTTATGGCAAATTGAAAGCTGTTCCTTACAGCAACAGCTCTAGAGCTGCACCACCATTTCAGGAGAAAGATCTTGTTTTTGCAGCTAAACTCTGACTTGTAAAAATCACATCTCCTTCAGTACTGTAAATATTGTATGTTTTGAACATTACAGGTTTCAGTTTGAGGGTCCAGAAGCCACTTTGTCCAATTTTTCTGTTACATGATCTCTCACAACCATCACCAGTGATGCTTCTGGGTGCTTCCCTGGGCTGAGAGCCCAAGTGAGGGCATGGAACTTCCAGAACAGCCACATCCTGAGCTGGGATGAGTCATCAAGGTTCAGTAACCCAACACACTGTTTTCTAGGTGTTAATGCAGACAGAAGATAAAGGGCAGATTTTTCCTGTGAAGCAACCTCACACTTGCCACCTACACATTAGCATCTTTACTCTAGTCATGCCTTTAACACCTTCAATCCTGGGTGAGATGTGTGTACTTGGAAAAAGCAGAGCCCTCAGGCTGGCTCAATGACCCGGTACAGACCCACAGGACAGTTCATCAGCTGCTGGAAGGGACCGTGCTGAGAGCTGGGGCGAGGGAGGCATAACGATTTCCACTGTCTGGGAATCTGTGCCAATGGATCTGCTGTGCCGTGTTTACCAGGACTGTAGTTAACACCGCAAAGCACCTGCTATTCCCTGCCTGTAGCTGATGTTTCTGAGCAGCCAAATACCCTCTAGAGGTTATCAGCCCCTTTCTTAGAAGCTCACAGTTATTTTGCCCAGCTGCTTTTTTGTCCCCTCTCACCAGTGACAGACATGTGGACCTACACTCTGTGTGTCTATAACAATGTTTTTGTGCATACTTAGACATATTTATGAATGACATCTATGCTCCAAAAAGAAATATCTGCGTGATCTTAAAGTGGGGTCTCCTGAACCCTTTAATTTGAGATCCTGATGTACCATCCATGAAAATTTCCTATCAGTCATTTTGCATGCAAAGTAATCAAGGCAAAGCATAATAATTTTAAGTCAGCAGGGTGATTGCAGCGCCACTTGAAAAATAAGTATTTTGTTAGGGGCAGGTTTTGAAAAATGTAATTTTGTAGGTGAAATTAAAAATCTCAGTCAGGTTACCTTCATTGTGGGGTGTTACTTTCTGGTCAAATTAATTTACAGCACTTTTTTGAGGTGACTGAGACTTCATTGGATGAATGTGATCTGTAGTGCCTATGGTTTTGGACACTAACAGCCAGCACATACAGTTCTTTGCAGACTCAAAATGGATTTCAAAAGACCTACTGAAATAATTTGTACCAAAAAACCTACTCTTTTCATAAAACTATTTAGAAGAATGAACAACAATTGGCTAGTAGTGCCACAGTTTAAGGGCTGTAGCCAAAATACAGGCAAGAAATAAAAGACGCAATTAACCAGGACAGTAACTTCTACTTTAACCTCTCTCGAAATATTTGTACTTATCAGCATCTATCTTCTTTGAACAAAGAATAAAATTAACTCAAGCAAAATACCAAGTAGAGTAACAGAGAAGGTGTGGGGCTGTTGGAGAGCTGGAGTACTTTCACCCCCATGAGGATTTGTCCTTGCAGACCAGTTGGTGCTGCTGTGTGAGATGAAAGGGCTTGCAGGAGTAAGATGGAGCCTGTATGGAGTTACCCAGAAGCATTCATTTACGGAGCATTTGACTGAAATCTTTTTCTTATATTAAATTACGAAGGGACATAGACTTCACCACCAAGGTTTTGTCTGTCAACATCCACATGGTGCTTTTTTTATTCAGAACAAGAAAATGCTACTTTGTCATCTCAGTTGTTGCTCCGAGAAAATGGCCTCTTGTGAGGGGCTTGAGGACTACACACATGTCAGCAAATATTTCTTCTACACATTTAAACATAACCTCATGTGTGTGGAAATATGCTCAGAAAGTCTTGTTTTCTGTAACTGGTTACGTGATCGCTGCTGTCAATAACCCTGAATAAAAATATAGATGTTTATAGTATTTACAAAACCAAAAGCAGATGGTTATAATACTGAGTTCCAGGGCTACAACCTGCTGCAATTTAATTTAATTAGAATGAAAACTGAACAGAATGCATTATTAAATATTGGTAATATACTGGCAGAGGAAATTATTTTGACAAAAATTCATATAATGGATGCAGATAAAGGTCCCAACAGTGTATCAAATTAAATAAAGCTTTATTGGAATCTAACAAAGCATGCTAGCAATGCACTTTAAAATACCGAGATTTTTGCTTCTATTTTGAAAGAAGCATAATTAACCCAAACTTTAAGAAAAAGAAAAAAAATCAAGCACCAATTAAATAATTTAAAAGTTGTTATCCGGCACTATTGTGTAAGCCTTATTCATATTTAAACACATTGAGCTGATCTACTTCTAATGTGGGAAACTAACTGCAGTATCATTTCATGAAATGTTATGTATCGGAATGAAAATGTTTTAAAGTCCAGACTCCATACTACACTTCACAATCACTAGAGGACTCTTATGGGAGCACCATACTCAACTGTTCCCTCTCAAATACATTAGTGACAATGTGCACTGACAGCCTCTGGACACAGGGCACAAGTAGCTGTGCTGAGAGAAAGCCTCATGACCCATCTGGTCCTGCCTGATCACCCATGGGAGTTCCAAAGGGCAAGGTGGAATATTTTTTTATTCCTGGGTTTGCACAAATATGTGCCAACAACCCACTTAACACCTTCCTTCACTGTGAAAACACTGTCAGGGACCAGTAGCTACATCGGGCCAAGGCCGGGTCTGCCCCCTCCCATGGGCTCTCCTGCTCCCCACCACATGCCATAGCCAGGATGTTCAGAACCCTCTCTGACTGACACTATCAAAAAGTTGCTCATCCTTCTGCAGATGTGAGCCAGATGTGGAAGATCAGATGCAGATAGGATAGATAAGGCAGCAATTCTGGACACCTGGCACCAAGGGTGGAGTTTGGATCCCTTTATGCCAACGTAATGTGTGAGCTGTGGCTGGAATGAGAAGACCTGAGCTTCTGCACTAGCATTCATAGCAGATCAAGAAACTAATGAAGCTGAAAATGTATCACTTATTTCCTGGTTGCTTCAGTTTTCAGCTGAATTTGTTCCTTATCTGGCTCATTTCGTGATAAAATGAATGTGAGCGGGGGCCTAGGGGTAAGGAGAGAACATGGGAACGTCCCTTCAGGCAGCAGTCTGCACTATATCTGTTGACTGCAGGACCACAGCTCTAGGAAAAGCTTCTTGTTTTCTGATATATTTCTATGTGCAAGGCATGATGTAAATCCCACTCCACATTTTGGTCTCATAAACCTTCATGGTCATCCATGTCTACGGCCTGCATCATTCTCTAAGAAGGAATGACCAGGAAAGCCCTCTCATCCTACCTTCTCCTGTCTCCTCTCCACGCACCCATCTCTCAGACTCCCCGTCTGGGAGCATATGGGAACAGATGCTCTGGGAGCTGCAAGGCCTGCCAAGCCTGGATGGTACCTTTTGGTTTTGTACAGGCCACTTTGCAGGCACTCTGCCTGCATGGACAACACAGCAGATCCCGAGGAGAGCTTCTGGCTGCTGCTGAGAACAGCATTTTCATATATGGAATCAGGAATATCCCTTTGTGATGGTGGATGGCTTCATGTTGCTCTAGCTAGCCTTGCTTTGCAGCCTGATCTACCAGTGCTGCTTGTCATAATTGCCCTGATATAAAAAGTAAACAGAACTGCTATGGAAGTGAATAGGGTTTATTCACAATACTAAGCTTTGCTGGTAAAATAAATAATTCTAATACAAAGTATCTATAAGATTAGTCTGTTAAGCGACATAACCTCATATTCAATTAAAAAAATAAAAAGCCCTTAAAAAAAACCCAAAACATGACATTAATGAAAAAAAAAACTGGCTAGAAAAAATCTATTTGCACAGACAGAACTTCTGTAGCAATTGTCAGAATAGCTTGTCTACGAAACATAAAGATTTTTGTATAAACATCTTTAAACAACAAATCAATTAGTTTTAACTGTTGGGGACATAAAATGTAGTAAGAAAGGATGCCTAAAAGTTAGAATTTTGCAAACCCTAAGCGGAAATGACATTTTAAATGTCACGGCCAAAAAATGACAGAAACAATGACACACCAAAGGTCATATTCAAAGTAACATTCAAAAACAAAGACAGCTGAATGTAATGCCGTTAGTACATAACCATTGTCTGAGGGAAAAGGGGATTTTCAAATTGATTAAATTAGAAAGATGACATTGGAAGAACAAGAAAATAAATGTTCTCAGGAAATCATACAAGTCACTTTAGTAGCTAAAGAGGCATTTGATTTAAAAGAATGTAACTGCAGCAACAAAATTTATTTGCTGTATTTTCCTGGCTTGATGTGGGTGAGTGCTTTTGCTTACATCAAGGTGATTCTACATACCCATTGCCTCGGCCAGACCAGAAACCTTCTGTCCATATATATCTGTCTTATTCCAGGCAAACGTGTATACCAAATTGGCTGCAGCAGGAAACCATTTCTGAAGCAGACGTCCTTCAACAGCAACTATCAGATGGACTTTTGTCATTCCAGAAGGGATGGTTGTGTGCGTCAAAATAATGCGCAGCAAAGTTTTGTACCCCGGTGTCCGACTGCTGAGGTAACTCAGCTTCACAAAACTTGAAGGAATTGCAATTTCCTCTTGGACCACCTTGGAAAAAAACCCACATCATTATATCTATAGCAAAGAAAAATGAAAATTTGTAATGATAACAGCAGGTAATTATTATGTGCTTCCCAGTCATGATGCAAACACAGTACCACACAAAACACTGATGTATTCTGCGTTCATTTCAGCAATGCAGCAGTCAGGCACATTAAAAAATGTCCAACAGCAGACACTGCTTTGTCAACTTACTGGATGGCAGTCTCTCTGTTTGATAAAGAGCCTGTTCCTCTGATGCCTTACTCTCATCTACTAGGGACCGAATATTGTATCTGTGCACATATTTTTACATACAAGTTCTATAGCTTTACCTTGCCTTCCTTACTTGGTTTACTTAACAAATGTTCTCAACCAGAATACAATTAAAACCTTTCTTTAAAGACACACACACTTTCTATCATAACTGTGATGTGAAGACATTATACCTTCCTGCTAAAGCATCGCCTCTGCAGTCAGGCTAAGCTCCAGCAAGAAGGGGTTTGGTACATGAAGGCCCAGCATTAGGAACCTAACAAGCTAACTGGGGACACACAGCAGGGCGGATGAAACAGCCTGAGCATCAGAGTCATCTCGCTCACAGGTAGGTCCCCGGGGTGTGCAACAAAACTCAAGTCCCAGGGCCCTGCTGCCAGTGCCGCTGTCTGAATCACTTGGATTAAAGCAAGCTTGGATATGCCCACTGTGGGAGGCATCAATTCCCACTGCAATGGAGATAGGCCCTCAGCAACTAGAAGGACTGCAAAGACTCTAAGCTTGTCAGTGGAAAAAAGAAATTTGGCCTTGACCTTTTGAATGATGTGGGCCTTGGAGCTACAAAAAGGGATTTAGCTCTTGTGATCTCCTGCGAGGAAGGAGCTGCTCTGGGACAGACTGCAAGGAAGAGCAGGCAAGAAATGCGAATGGCTTCTTGGAGATGCTACTGCAGTAACTCAAAAGCCACTTGAAAACTAGACTGTGCTTAATAAGGTTAATGATTTTAATGCATTTCTGTAACAATGAGTCAACCTGTCACAATGTTAAATTCATCATGCTTGGAAAATGACAAACAGTTTTGTTTATATTATAGAGTTTTTAAATTTTTCTTGTTTAACAATAGGTTATTTCATTCAAAACAATTTTATTTACACACTGCAACAGTATCACTGTCACAGCATTGCTGCAGTACAGCTGGAGGCCTGCCAGCACTTGTCGTTTCAACATATGAAATGTAGTGTTGCCAGGGAAATCCTGCTCCCTTTACTGTTCCTGATTTGCAGTGTTCCCCTTCTTTCCTGCTGACATCCCAGCTGCCCTCTCTGTCATACATCTGACATCCCTTCTCATTTTTTAATAGAAAAACAGGAAGAAATATTCATGCATTAATGCATGCTAATATATCTCTGTCTCCTATTATTCTTAGTTACTTTTTGTTCAATTCCAAGTACCGTACCATGAAACCTAACACTCTAAGAACACCCCAATGACTGAAAAAAGAAAAAGAAGTGGGTGTGGTTTTTTCTGAGTAGACTGCGTCTTTGGGTACCTCGCTGTTCAAAGCAGACCCAGGCATACCTCATGTGGAGTACTGTGACCCAGTTTTTTCTTGCTGGTGTGCAGCACTTATTCTTAATTTATGTTCATTAGTTTCACTTAGTACGTTCTGTGAAGCAACACTATGGCCATCCACTGGATAAAGCATGAAAGGTATGGAGGTGTTTAGACATAATTGAGTTCAACCAGAGGGCTTTTACATGTAGAATAAAGTAGCAACAGTTTTATGAGGAAAAGAGAAAAGTTTGGAAATACCCATGTCTACAGGTAGCCTCCAAGTCTCTTCCAGACTTGCTCAGTGAAATTAAAAGAGAACCCAAAGGACTTCTTACTGTTTAAACTCTAACTGCTCAAAGAACGTAATAAAAATTAAGGAGGTGAACACGACCCCAAACCTGTGTAGCTGTATTTTGTTGGGTTTTCAACTCACACAACCCTTTTTAAGTCTCAAGTAAAAGAACAGTTGATTACAAGGTTAATTTAGAAATGACTTCTAAACACTTAAGGGAGTGTGAAAAAAGACATTTAAATAAAAAAAAATTCTAAAGATCATGCTAAAATTGCTCTACCTTGCAAAGAAAGTAATAAACCCCAAGAATCTAATATATAGCCAGAGATGCCATTGTAAAGAACTAGAAGGTGTGAGCAGATGAAACACCTTCTAGAAATCTTCAAAGCATCTTGGGTAATGCCTCACATTGATGTATGGGGAAATTATACTGTTCATCTGTAACTAGGAATGGTTTTGTGCATCACGATAAATAAATCAGGGTTTCAATACTAAATCATGTTAGGACTCCTCAGTTTCTTCTACTTGGAGGTCAGAATCAAAGCACTTTTAAATATTAACAAAAATTAAAGAAAGGAAAAAGACAAAAGCATCTTGTTAAAGAGCACTAAAGAGATAGGCATTGGTGTTATTCTGCCAAGTGACTGACATTTCAGCAGTTATTTGCTCACTGTTTGATTTCACCTTCTAAAATTGTCTATCCTTGGTTCTGCAACAGAACAAATTGTTCATTTGAAAGTCTTTTCATTACCTGAAGTTCTGGGATAACAGTTCCTCTTTCAGGACAGGACCCTCCAAATGCTGTCAAGGGGGAAGGGAGTACAATTGGATTTGGGCTGATAAAACTGTTGATGTCACAAGATGGTGTGTCCGACTCTGTTCTTTGCATTACAACTTTGTCTACAATGATAAATCTATTCCAAGGCAACCAAAGTGTTCTTTTCTCAGATATGAAAGGAGATCTATCAAAAACTAGAGTGACAGAGATTCCTCCAACAGCCACAAGGTCAAAACTGGAAAAGAGAAAACAAATTGTTTTGTTTGTTTTATCACCACATTACCACACCTTTCAAAGCATCACAAACAAAACCTTTATGTTCCTTATTACAGTCCTTAATTTACTATGTGAAGTAATTCAAGTGTGCCTTCCTGGCATCCCCTTGGCATCCATGAAGCTTTACCTCTGTGTGCTTTCTCCCTTCTATGCATCAACAGCAAGGCACAGAATTTCTCTTTTATCTGGTCTCCTTCCCCTCTATTTATCAACTAGAATTAATATTATCAAGTCATCTGTAACGAAAGTATGGACTCAGTTACTCTGGTTTATATGAAGAGAAATTCCTAGCCCAGAAGAGGGATGCCACTCATAATCTATGCAGGAAGAGCACACAGAATAATAAGTCTTAAAGCCTGTTAGGCCTTAGCTCTATTAACATAATCCCTTCCCTTTTTCTAAAAGCAGCAGGAGGAAAAGGTTGAGTACACTGAGCACGAGACCTCTCTGTGCAGGATATGAAATTTTTTGGAAAAGATGCTGATTAATTGCACTGAGAACTGAATCAGCTCTTGTACACAAGGCAGGTGATCCTCTGGGACCTACTGTGAAGAAACTTTGGCATATCTGGGCTGCAAAACAGTGGGACATAGAAGGCATGATATACAGTCTCAATTTCCAGAGTTTCTGACATCCACAGTCAGACAACACAAGGTAATATGTAAATAGCTACTTCACTCTCTGTATTATTGAATGCATCTATTATGGAGGGGTTTGATGGTAACAAACTGTGATAAGAAGTCAGACTTAATTATGTATATCTCATCACATTTCCCAAATGACACCGATTACATTCACAGCAAAATACAGGTAGCATATTTTAATGCAACAACTTTATCCAGGCTAGTGTAAGGAGGAAATGATAATTACCAACTTTCAGTAGTGCGATTTGAAAGTCAATAAACTAAGGTAAAATAAATATGCATGTTCCTTACTTTCATAAACTGGCAAATCCAAACAAGAAAGGAATAATTATGGAAGCAGTGACAAATTACACCACTCTTTCCCTGATGGAAGACGGCTTCTGATTTCTTGTAATTTACAATACAGACAAGGAAGATGAAGTCTTAAACTGCCCTTAGCAGCTTAATTAAGTTCAGTAGCAAATCATGACCCTATTGCAAATGGATGGCCAACCTTGGAGTGCAATATAGAATATGCTGAAACTTCACCTCTCTTTGAGAATTGAACTTGGCCTTACAAGGCTGGGGAAGAAGGGGAAGCCAGGACTGCTCAGGGCTTGTTATGGAACAGCAGTTTAACTTTGACTCTGGGGAGAGTCTGTTCTCACTTTTCCTTGTGTTCAGAAGATCAGCCAAAAGGGCTAGCTTCACTGACACCTCAATAAACTCCTTGAAAGATTCACACTTAACAACAGAAAAAAAGAGGGAAGACAGGACATTCCCTGGAAAACCTGACTTGTGAAAATATTCAAATGTCAAGAAGGTATTGGTACAGCAGAACTGGCACATTTCAGCTCCAGGAGTTTGAATGTTACTGTAATCTTGTCGCTGCTCAGGGTTTTTCTTCTTGTCTATGAAAATTTTGTACATGAAAAGAAGCTGGAAGATGGCCATAACTACACAAACCAGGTATGATCTTCCACAAACCAGTGGGAGATCACACTTGAAAGCCTGACCTTCCATCTTGTCGACTGATGGTGTATCCATATTCATTGTGGTGCAGAAAACTGACGTTCACTCCAACCAAAGGTGTTCCATCTATTGCTACAACCTGGCCTCGGATGACACACGCCCGTCTGTAACAGCAAGAGTAGAACACAACATGTTACACACGTGAGGAGGGTGAGAAGGGCATTGATTTCAGAAACTGGGCTATGCTTCTGTCCCAGACAGACAGAACTGCTCTGATATCACTGTGACCGTTCATTTTTGAAAGAAAAGTCAAACAAGTCCAAAAGATTGATTTGGAAAAGCATTATCTCATGAACATGACACACAGACTCTCCCATGAATCGTTCGTGTATGTAGGGTATATTTCTATTTCCAGACATATTTCAGGATACCATTTGTTCTGCCATTGAAAGAGTGCACTGCAAAGGTTTCACTGATAGCGTGATTTAGCTTGCTGCAGCTCTAGGGAGTGATGCTTTGTGAAAGGAGAGAATGAAACCTCATTCTCTGCTGCTAGGTATAGGGGACTGTTGTCTATTAGAAAAAAGCTGAACTAATGTGATAAGGCAGCAGTGAGATACATGGTCTTCACTGAACTTCAGAAAGTTAGATACGTAAATTCACAGGGTGCCTAATCAAGTGTAACTTACATTTTTCTCAATGCCCTGTCACATGTGATGCCCTTTTAAATTCCCTCTGGGATGTGTTGGACTTGCACCCACTTTCCACTTTGTCCTCACATTCCAGTGAGGAGGCTGGAACATGGCAGCACAGCGGAACACATCAAAGTCAATGGACAGGAAAGTGAACTCATTACTAAGTGGGTCTAATCGGAGGCTAACAGGATCACAGAATCATAGAAAATGAGAGCTGAAAGGAAATACAAGACTTTATCTTGTCCATTCCTTTGCCTCAGGTTAGATCAACTATACCTACATCAGTCCAGACAGATGCTTGTCTAACTCTATAAGCTCACCAAGTAACCCATTCCAGTGCCTCTGTATGACTGCTTTACTCATGGCAAGTTTTTTCTACTGCCCAATTTGAATCTCCATGACTGCCCTTTAAGACCATTGGTTTCACCCTGACCACAGAAACGGTGAAGAAATTACTCTTTTTCTTAGCTTTAGCTTTTTGCCTAACTGAATAATGAGACACAAAGGAGGCAAATATCCCCAAGGGTGAGGAATTCGAAGCAAAATATCCTCATGGTGCAGATTAGCACCAAGTGGGATTTCCTAAAGGCTTACACAGCTGCATTCCATTGAAACACCTTTCAGTATTCTGCCCCTGCTGTCTGGTACACATCAGCAATACCGTGGTTTTACATAATGAAGTGAACAGTGTATGCAGAAGTCTTCTGGTAACATTAAGACATTTAGGGTCAAACCCAGTAGAATACTTACAAAGTGAACAAACATTAATTACTCAATATAAACAGCTAGCGTAAATTTAGGCATTGTTCTGTTTCTCTCTCAGTTTGAAAGTTCATGGTAGACCTCATCAGACACATCCATTGTATAGTGAATATGTGAACTACATGAAAAACTTTATAGTTCCTCAGACAAAAGTTATTTAGGAGTCTACTTATGAATTTAAAAAATATCCCTTGAGAGGTTAATTGACCATGATCCAATGAAATCATATGCGCAAATTGGAGACCATAAATTTCAGAAAATTCTGACTTGTTTCTTAAGTTCCCATTCTCCAAAGCCATTTGACAGGATTTATCACCATGATGTCATCAAACCCGACTGACTACGACCTGAGAAAATGCAACTGGTGAAAATGAACCTCTTTGCAAGCACACCATTCACTACAGTTGCTAATATGGATTCTGTATTCCCAGGACATAGAAAGATGCTGATCTTCAGCAAAGATCTGACAAATCCCAGAGAAATGGGAGAGGTTGCGTTACTGCCAGTATGCAAAACAGAGTTCTGACTTATCAACTTTTTTGTTTTATACATGAACTAAATGGGTTGTGGCCCTACTTGTGGGCAAAACCTGCTGCTCCACTGAAGGCAATCAAGCTCCTGTGTGTCTCTCCAGACTCACAAGACTCACTCAACAGGAGAGCCAGGTTCAATTTCTCTTTGATTTGTTAGAGCAGAAAATACGGTTTTCTCATATTTCTAACATCAACAGACCTGCCATTTCTTTTCTAATACTTTTATTAGAGGACTCCATATATTTACAACTCACATTGGTGTGAGAGCAAGACCTCTGAGAGCAATCATTATTCAGTGCATTATTCTCCACTCCTGTTTGTTCATTCCACACAGACCTGTCTTCTGACACTACTCTGTCCTCATATTTTATCAAGCACACAGATTTGTCTGATAACAGCTCATCAAAGCCTCCATTATTTCATCCATAGCTTTTCTTTCCCCTACTCATTCACTTTACTACCCATTATTCATAAATAATATTAAGAGACTTATCTTTCAACTTGCTCCTTTTTTAGTCACCGTATTTTACAAGCCACACATATTTACAGTATGTGATAATGACATATAAACCTCATTATTCTATATTTGTTTGTACTGAATTGTGTTTGTAATCTCCTAGATTTCAAATGTTCTAAGCCTGCCTCTGTGTTCCTACATTTGCCCTCATTATTTAATATCTTTTTATTACCTACTCTAAGTTGAAGAGTCTTCTACTCTCTGGCCTCTTCTTGAATTACCAGCACCTACTAAATCTTTGACTAAGCACTTGATCAGAATTAGCTTTAATTTGGCACTTACTGCAGGTATGAAAACATTTTTCAGTTACTTTATGACCAGCACTAATCTCACAGGCTCAGGAGGTAACAAACAGCCCCCAGTCTGCAGTGAGTTCTCCCTCCTTTCCCTGTGCCCTGGCAGCTCTCAGAGCAGACCCCCATGCCTGCAGGTGTCCTGCCACACAGGTTCCCTGCAGCTCTGCTGCTTGCAGAAGACCTTGCTTAATTCCTTTCCTTACCAGAGCTTTTAGAGCATGCAGAGCATGTTCCCTGCAGTGATGTCCCTTTGTAGTCAACTGCCACTTCACGCTTCCTCGCTTCAACATCCACCCTCTCCCCAGATGAGATGGGGGCCTTGCTACCACTCACTGCTTTTCTTAATTTGAGCAGAGAAACCTCTCAAGATCATGATGTCTCCTCAATGCACTGCATTCTCTGCCTCTAAGATTTATTCCACACTCTTGTGACTGCCCTGCTTTGGCTTCTCATGGGGGATAACTCCTACTATCTGTCCAACAGCCACCTATTCGCGGCGACTGCGTAACCTCGGACCTAAGGCTCTCCAAGTTGTTTTAACTTGAAAGTAAGTGCAAGAATGTCTTTTCTAATTTGGTGGAGCTGGGCAGGAACATGGCCCTGATAAGCTGCCTTAGTGTTTTCAAATGCATTAAAAGTGTTTCCAGTCCCCTGGCAAGCTGTACTAAATCTGCAACTCCAGAGGGAGCAGTTGGCTTTTTGAGAGAAAGCCGAGATTCCCACGGGTTGCAGGTGGCCTAAAAGAAGTAGGATTTTTCTGTCAGTGCTTCATGGGTCATTCCACAAGTAACTGAGGATCTCAGCTCTGCGCATCTCAGGCCTCTGCCATAAGGCAGTTTGTTTGACATCTCTACTTTAAAATATAAATAGAAGTTTAAATTCTAGATGCATTCTTTCACTATTTGTAAAGCATTTTATTATTCCATTACCATTCTGCCTTGCTCTGCTGCTACTTATCTGCTATTTTTTTCCTTTTGTTTTGTGTGTTAAGTTTCCAGTATTCTCAGAGCACCTCAGGCTGAGACATTAGGCTCAGATATGAAACTCTGTCAAGCAACTTGTGAATTTCCAAGTGTCACATTACCAGAATATGTCATTTACTGTATTACATTTATGATTAAAATCTTCAATCAGAGAAATTAAGCTAAAGGCTAGTGAGGTACATTCGTTTCTTCCTGCTGACAATGTTGCTGTAAGCAGCCTTTGAAGGGTAATTAATTCAGTACCATACACTGGACCCTTTTTGCAGGCAATTTGCAGTGAGTCAAATAGCTTGCCAGCAGCATGCATTAAAAAAAAAACCTCAGCAAAGAAACAAGCTAAAAACCTTTCTGAGAACAGAAGTTGACAAAAGCATTATAATCTGCTACACCCTGCTACATGTAGTAGGTCAAAACCACTCCTGATGCAAGCAAATACATTTCCATTTATTCAGAATGTCTCTAGTCTGCCTTTCAGCACGTCACAGATAAGTGGGAGTTTGTAAAAACCCAGCACAAATGACATAACTTTGACATAATAAAAAGTAAAACATGTTTTGCCATCATTTTTCTTCTTAACACTATTCTTGGTGTAGTATTTAGCTCTGGCTCAATGCAACATCCTGACTGTGTTGTAGAACCCAAATATTTAAAAATTAGAGCTAAGCTAAGATCCAAAATGCAAATGAAAAAGGATAGATGTCTCAGCATCTGTCAGAACAACTAGTTTTAGTATTTCAGATTATTTGGAAAATGCCAGGATATGGCAGAGACGAAACATTTTCAGTCTGAATGACAGAGATAATCTTCACCATTTTTGATAGCTTTCCTAAATCTAATCAACATCACTTTGACTTTGTCTACAGTGAACTTTGTGCAAACATCACCCATACTAGAGCTCCACTGACCTGTGGTACAGTAAAACACTGTACAATGTCACTTGAATCAGAGGGTTGGAAACATTGGATAGATATTTCTTCCTTAATCCTCCTAATGGTCTCAGAGATTTCTTGTGAAGGGAAATAATAACAATAAAAAAAAGCCAGCTAGGGCTTTGCAAAATTGAAGCACCAGTGGGAATGGATGCCAGTGCTCTGAAATAAATGCATGCCCCTATTATATCCAATCCTTCCAACATTTCGTGTTGAAACACCAATGCCATAAAATCAGTGTCATTGCAGGCAGACATGAGTTAATATCATGTGCCTGGACACAACTTTTTCAACAACAGCCCAAAGATTAAAACCCCCTAAGCATTCTTTGGTCTGTATCAGATAGGTTGGATCACAGATTTCTTATGTTTTTACTGTAGCAGCAGTTGTCTTTCTATATTTTTTTCAATAATCTTAATTCCCAGGAGAAGAACAGACACTAGATGACAGTCAGATTGGCAATGTCAGAGGAAGATTTCTGAACAGAGGCAGCACAGCTCAGCTATTGCCTCCTTCAGAGACCCTGCTTATCTCTCATCCTTGAGAAAAATTCTGGCAGTTTTTAATAATATTTGACTTGTGGATGAAGAATTTTTCAGCAGCCTGGAAGACTTGAGGATTGAGCAAAGTGTGGACTAAGGGACCCCTCGGGGTGCCCAGTACAGTGCAGATTACTGCTGACAAACCCCAGGAGACACGGCACAGCGCGAGTCTCCAGGCACTGCCCTGATTCCAAAGATAGAGCCACCCTCATGTGAATCCCAAGGATCTTCTCACCAAACTAACTAGGAATTTCTCTGCAGAGGGAGGAAAGGATATCTGGGGTGTGAGCAATGCACTGACACAAGTACAAGTCATACTCCTTAGTGGCAGGAAGTAACAAGCCATGGTGAGGGTGGGCTGCTGCTCCCACACGGAACTTCGCCGCTCTTCGTTTTTCAAAGGCATGGCAGGTCTCAGGGTAAAGAAACTAAATACTCAGAAGAAGCTTTTAAATCCAAGTTAAAATCCTACCAATGATAGCTTTAAAAGATCAATTCCTTATATCTATAAAAGCACGTTGATGGGATTATGTGCAATCTGGCTGCTAACATTTGCAGTGTCACAGAACACTGTACAGGCAACTCGAGTGCTCACCTCCTCTCTGAAAACTCCTCACTGTGAGGCATTTTGATGAGGCAAATCTTTCACTGGTGACTTTTGTTTTAAAAGGCTTTTGGTTTGCACATACAGCCAGCCAAGGACCTTGGCCCAGGTGCCGTAGCACCTTTTATAACAGCAACATGCTCTGAGAGATCTAGCCATGGCAGGTGGATGCTTCTCACAGAGTTCATCTTCATGCCCTATTGTTCTACATATTTATCACATCCTGTTACATTATTAATAGTGATTAAATGTTTAGGTATTTCAGATCAATAAGGACTCTGTTTACAAATTTACTTTATTAAAAATTAATGTTACAAAGAGAAAGTGCACTGAATTTGTGTGCAGCTGGAATTGTGTTGAGGTTGTAACCTAAGTGCTATGTACTGTGAAAATAAAAAAAATTCTTATGTCCTTATTACTGGAACATGGTTTATCTAATGCATAGGCCTAGTTGACAGGGTAATAGTCAGGTGATGTGGATGATTTGTGGATCTCTTTGTCAGCATGTAAGTTATAGCTTCCCAGGTGAACTACAGCATAAAATCTTATGTGCCTCTATATTTCAAATGTTCAAGAAAATATGTGTTACCAGGTTTTCTGAGCAGGCAAGTGCCCCTTTCCTATTGCACAGTTTTTTCCTGTTAAAAGGGCAAAGCCAATCTCAAATACTCAGACATCACTCTACTCTTTGCATGACAGCTGGAGAGAAACCCAGGGCATAAAATGGTAAACACTGGTCTATCAACATGTAGTAAAAAAAAGAGAAGTTTTTTTAATTAGGTGGTTGGATTATATGTGACACATGTTAAATTTATTACACTGTAAATACGAATCAAGTTCGATTGGGCAGAAAGGTGACTGAATACAGCACTCGTGAATTAAAATTGTCCTTCTGCATCCTGCCACCAAATGTATGTACAGTATGAAGGGCTGAACTTACCCCTGCTGATTTTGTGAGGCAGCTTACCTTCCTCAACAGTCAGAGTCTTGTTCATAAGAGCAGTAGAATTTGTTGCTGTGGCACTTTCATGAACTAGACAGGTACCAAGGATAATCTGAAAACCAAGATCCTCAGCTGTTGGGACTTAAGTTTGTTATCCTTTTAAGTATTTCATGAGGTTCAGGGAGGAATCCTCAGCTATCCAGGTTTCACCATTTTTCCCCTGGTGAAATAATTTCATTGCAGTTCTCAATATTCAGAAAAACCTTACATCTGAGAGAAAAACTCACCTGCTCTCAAACGAGACATCTCCTGGGATAACATGAGTGCTTTCCTTTCCAATAAGGAATCTGATTCGATCGTAAAAGAGCCTTGGAGGATGCTGAGAGAAGGGTGGTTGGCTGTGCTGAATAAGGTCAAGGGGATCAGGCGAACCCTGGCAGAGTGGAGTTGTGTAACAATTGCTTTGCTGACAACAATCGGGGTCTACACAGTCTGTCAAGCCATCTAAAATGGAGAGAATGGAAAGTTCAGGAAATTGAGTGGTTCTGAGAATAAAGCACCACATTTACTATCAGAGAGCACAGGAGGGATGTAACAAATGGAAAGGCATGCTGATTACGACACAGTCAAATTCAATAAAGCATTAACACATATGCTTAATCCATTTAAAAAATCTAAATTTCTTCGTGGACAAACTCAGAGCAACATTTGCGGGTGAAATTCATGTACTTAAATGTCCGAAGCTTATGACGAAAATTGGAGCACTGAAGTGCATCTAAATTAAGCACCTAAATAAAACTTAAAATTGGGCTATTGGCATTTAATTGCTTCTATCAGCAGCTTAGACGTACAAATTGCCTAAATTACATACTCAATCAGAAACAGATTTAATAAGAGACGGTAAAATGTCCAGCTATGTTCTTTAACATCCATTTTATGACTTAGCAGCTGCTAACTTGCTTGGACTGACAAGCACACTAACGCATATAAAGCGAGATGAAGGTGTCGTATCCTTCAACAAAGACATCTCTTTGTATTTTTAACAAGGTCGGTCTGAATAAATGTGGAGTCATCATATCACTGTATGGATTTCCCTTGTGTTAAAATTGGAATGCTATAGGATCAACATACTGTCAGATATTTTCACTTCATGCTTTGACTTTCCATGCTCTGTTCGTACCAACACTTTGAAGTCTATCAAACTGTACCTCCTCCGGGCAAACTGCGCCAGCAGGGGAGCTGCTGGAATTCTGTCATTGACTTTAATGGGTGCGAGACTAACCCTCAGCCAACTCTTCTCCTTTCTCAATAGAGCACACTGCACTGTGTGAATACTCAGTAAACAGCACCGTAAAATATTCACTTTGAAAAGAAAGCAAAAGCCCTTCTACAGAACAAACAAATATAATGAAACGGTTTTTCCTGGCATCTGAAAATCCTTGCCTGACCTTGAGCAAGGTAACTGCTTGGCTAAGCAAAATATATTAACCAATCTATCCTGCTGCAGCTGGGAAATCAGATACAGCAGGCTAGTTTTTGTGATAATGAGCCAAGGGCAACTGCAGATAGCTAACAACAATAACCTAGGACCCTTGGATCCAGCAGAGCTGGCATGGCTACAGGTCAGTGTGTGCTTTAAGTTCTTTCCACATTCCCCAAATCCTGGCGACAACGGGCATTTGCCAGTGGTGGGAGAAGGACTTCACAGGGCAACGTTGAGTTTATTGACTTTGAGTGTAGCAGTCACTTTATATTCAGGAAAGCCTAGGAAGCAATTGAAATCCTCTAGGAAATCAGTAAGCTGAAACAATAAGGGGCCTCCAGTCTAAACAAAAGCACACAGGAAGCGGATGGAGGAGTTCACAGCATGAACCAGAGGGGTTTTCAGTGTGTTGTGATGAAAAAACAAAAGAGCTTTTTGGGTTGAAACTTGGAAGAGCAGGCTTGGAACTGCAAGGAAAAAAAAAATCTTATTGTTTCCGCTTTTTTTTTGTCCAAGAAAGAAACTCTCTATATTCTTAAAACATGAGCTGAAATGCATCAAATAACTAGCAGATTATCCAAGACTACAAATGTTACAGAATTCTACTAGACTTGAAAAGATGATGAAGGCATTGAAATATCTTGCTGGTTGATAATGAAGATGCCTGCAGAGGGCTCTGACATGGTCAGGCCACTCAGGGCTGGGCTCTGCCAGTGGAAGGGTTATGGCAGTGACAAGTCTTGTTCAAGGAGTCAAGGGACTTTCTGGAAGGTACTAATTTCTACAATCTGACCAACTGCTGTCTACCTGAGAAACTTGACAAACATTGGTCTGGCAGAATATGTGCTAATCAGAAAAAAGAAGCACTTATTTCAGAATAACAGTATCCACGAGGAAGCTATTCTGGAGTAATTTATTCCACAGTAGCTATTTTGATTAATTTTTTCCCTGTCAACAAGCCATTAGATGTGGGAACTGAGTTGACCTGATTCTCTCATTTAGGTAAGAAATAAAAGTGAAAAGTCACAGAAATATCTGAATGTGAAGATTATTAGGAAACAAATTTCTAAGGAAAGAAATAGCTGTAAAAACAACAATTAACTACTTTGCTCTTTCTAATAGAGTCTTCATTTTTCTCTGCTTCAGTCAAGAGCTTACATGCCTGACTACAAACACTGTGCATTCAGGCTGTACACAAAAAGAAACCAAGTACAGGGAAAGCAGTTTTCCATCTTCCAGTCAGACTCAATTTTCATCTTTTCTTTGCAGTTTACTTGTCAGCAGAGTGACTGCCTTATAAACTCTTCCAGGTACTGCTAATGGAGTTATTTTGGTTTGAATTACTTGCACCTGGTTTCATTTTCCCTCTCCAGGCTCCCAGGGACACAAGAGGGTGGCTTTCCCATTAGTAGGGTGTGAAGTCCCAGAAGCATAACAGAAGCATAATTGTGAGAATGGTGTGTGTTCTAATAGCACCATCACTCTATGAAGTCTGGATTAGGCAGGACCAGTTTACGGCCTTAGGAGCAAAGGCTACGAAATCATTAGAGGAAGAAATTGTTACTGAAAATATCAATGTTAATGCAAGGGAACAGTCTACTAGGTTATAGACTATCATTCATGGCTTTTCTCTCTCTCATGCTGTATTTTTTTTTATAATATTTTTATTGATCAGATGACAATTTATTTTAATCTCCCCACTCAACCATGCAGAGTAAAAAAGAAAACAGATGGCTCAGAGAAGATGCTCCATGGGCAGTGAGGCAGAAGGTGCAGAAACACCAGCTCTTCTATGGACTCTTTAAGGCCACATATTTTGCTCAGGCCACTGTGTGGACGTACTTTAGAACCATTAACTAGAATTGTCTGAATAATGAAACTTGGAGCTTTTTTTCCCAAACAATTAAACAAAATTTTGAAGAGAAATCAAATTGGATAGAAGTGAAAAATATTTTTCACACTTTGTGCTAAAGTAAAAGAATAAAGCACCTATTTTGGGACAAACAGTAAACCATTAGGCCAAAATACAATCTTTGTTCCACTTTAGGCAAATTTAAGACTTTGGTTTAACGTTAGACCATTTACAAGAAAACAAGAAAAAAATTCCAATCTAACTCCCCAAAAGAAACTCCTGTAATTCAGCATGATACCCATCAAAATGAACCAGGTCAAACAGAATCACAAGCTACATATGGAGGCAGTTTGTGATAGTGCAAATCATATTACTAAGTGCATGTGAGGACATTTTCAACAACCCAATTCTATTTGAAATGAGACTTTTAGTCCAGGAGAATAACCCACAAAAAACAAATATATAATCAAATTAATTCCCTTAAAATTCCACAAATACATGAGTCAGTTCTCAACCAATGGTCACAATTTTAGTTAAATTTTCATATCAGAAACCAACTGTTAAAAAGTTCACTGTATTAATAAATCAGCAGGGTTTCTTTTAAATCTCAGGAGACAACAGCCAGGAGTATGAACAAACTACTACAAACAGCAAAAACTGTAATTCATCCAGCAGGGGAGCCTGTACACTGAAGTTTTTACTGTCAGTTACACCAAAGTGCATCACAGCATAGGTGCAGACGAAGATGTATTACAGGGGTGTAAATGATTTCAGTTTGCTATTAGCATTTTTTTATTTATTTTATATAAAACACAGTCAGGCACCTTAAAGGGGCACTACAGATTATATAATAAAGTGATTCACGTTTTGATGAGTCTGGGATTATGGTTTCACATCTTCCAGCTACCTTGTTTTGTATGTGATGGGTGATGACGAACTAAGTGAATGACACAATTAAAATATTTTTAATATTACTGCTAAAATAGAATTCACAAAGATTGACTTGAGCATAAAAAGCACTTCATAGCACACTTAAATAATTTAAACAACCTCAAAGAGAAGGCAGAGCATGCCAAAACAAGTTGCTCTGTTTTCAGTCATACCAATCCTATCTGCATTGCAATAGATCACAGAATTAGGACAAGATTTTCATATTTCTTTGCTGGGGAATAGATTTTTTCAGGAAGCTTTCCAGAAGGAATGATATTAATATTTATTGTGTCAGGAGTTTGCTTTAATGGAATCACACAATGTTTTCCTTTAAAAAAAAATGTATTTTCTTGCTTATGCATTTTTATATATTTTTCCTATTCCATATGATGGAAAGGATCTCACAAGTGTTGTGAAATTACCTCCTCAGCTATGTTTGTATTGCAGTCATGGAAGGCTCAGGTTGTGCTAGAGCACATTCTCTAATGTAAACATTGTGCAGCATTCTCTCCTCTACAGGGATGATCACCTTGCCCAGCGGCCTCATTCCTATTAAACAACTGAGACACTTTATCAACTGGCTATGAAAATGACAAATTCAATCAGACTCTACCTCCCATGTTGCTGATGTTAGTTATTTTAATAAACCATCCACTACCATTAGGTTATGGCAAGCAAAACATAAATAGTTTGCAATAAAGCTTAGAATTGCTATTCTTCTGCTTAAAAGTTCATTAAATGGGCAGAGTTCTCACCTTTTCAAGCTTTTGTCACACATGGAAAAGATACTACTAAAGTTAACTACTAGGTTAATGTAAACTAATAGGTTTGATGGTAATCTCAGACACGCTCACAAACACACAGACTAATAATGTAATTGCTCAGTGACATAAGAATCAAATCCATCTCTAAGCAGTACACCGTACTTAGTTTTGGGCACCACAATACAAGAAAGATATAAAGCTATTACAAAGCATGCAGAGGACAGCTATGAAGATGGTGAAAGGCCTAGAGGGGAAAACATATGAGGAGCATCTGAGGTCACTTGTCTTGTTCAGCCTGGAGAATTGGAGACTGAAGGGAGAACTCATCACAGTCTACAACTTCCTCATGAGGGGCTGTGGAGGGACAGGCACTGGTCTCTTCCCTCTGGTGACCAGTGACAGGACCCAAGGGAATGGCCTGAAGCCGTGTCAGGGGAGGGTTAGGTTAGATATTAGGAAAAGGCTCTTCACCCAGAGGGTGGTTGGGTAAGGGAACAGGCTCCTTGGGAAAGTGGTCACAGCACCAATTCTCACAGAGTTCAGAAGTGTTTGACAACACTCTCAGGCACATGGTACAGTTTTTGGGGCTGTCCTGTGCAGGGTTAGGAGTTGCACTTTAATGATCTTTGGGGGTCCCTTCCAACTCAGGATATTCTATAATTCTTTGAATACCAATGAGCTTCATTTCACTGCTGCAGAGCAACCCAGAGCTGTGTGTGTGTCAGTGCACTCCCACCCCCTCTCTGCTGATCCCAGTGAGTGCCAGTGACTGAGCTGTGAGATCTATGTCCAGAATATTTTCACCAAAAGTAAAAAATGGGACTGAAGTTCCTCCTTGCAGTAAATAGATTTTTTTCTCTGAACTCCTATTCAGAGCAACCTAAAAATCTAAACACTAAGACGCTCAACATTTGAAGGATTTGCACTTTTCAGTGCACTCACATGATCAATTGTTCAATACTAGTGGTTGTGGGGAAAAAAAAATCCACAGGAGTCTCCAATTCGCATTTACTTATTTTCTTTTACAGATTTCAAATACGCATTAAACATTGCCTGTGCCGACTTGTTTCACCACAGGCTCAGTTCAGTCTAATTAGGGTTGCCAGGAACCCAAGCAAATGGAATCAAAGAGTAACTTCAGAAGAGACTAAGCAGCAGCAGCAACTGTCATGAGTAAGTAATGCTTATTCATATGCATTAATTCAAATTGCACAAATTTTAGCCATAATACATAGCAGGTAGCAGAAAGTGAGGCTGTTAAGCAGGAACATTGGTGTTTTTATCAGGAAACCCATCAGGGGGCCTGTGGAAAGACTGTGAGTGTTTTATCCAGTGAGTTTGGCCTTCCACACACAGGACAACACAAATATATCAGGTTTTCAGAAACTGTAAGTATCCCTGGGGAGTCCTCACTGCTCAGCAACAATGAAAACCATTCCTATCAGTATTATTTATATTGTGTGATAATAGCATGTTATTTATATATGGACTCAATATCTCTATGATGGATAGGTTATTAAAATGCCAATGGATGGGTCAGAAATACATCAATATTTTAGCAGCACTGGTTATCAACCCAAGGCTATGCTGAGTCATATATTTCCTTGTGCTTGGAAAAGCTTGGAGAAAGCTACAATAACTGTCTGAAGTGACTGAAGGGATATTTGGAAGAGAATTCAAAGCTAGTAGTAAATAGTATTTTCCTTAAAAACAAATGGGAGAGGTTGATTCATGAAAGAAAAACAGTAAAAAGAGATGCAGGCAAATTTAAAAGAGATCCATATCAAAGCCATTAATATGAGTGACAGGCTGCAACTTTCATCTTAAGACAAAGACCTATATGTGCAGCAGCAGGGTAAACACATCTCCAAAGAATAGGAAAACTGTGGCTTGGCAGACCGAGGGGTGACCCATGAGTGGGTGCTCAGTGCCCTGTGTGTCCCCACATTGTGGCAGCCTCCTGTGCCCAGGACACAGGTCCTCGTCTGTGAAAGCTCTGCAGAGCTTCCAAGAAATCTTCTGGAGCTACTGAAGCTTCCAGTGAGTCTAAATTAATGGCAGGACAGGAGAAAATGACCTGCTCAGATGAACTGAATGATCATCTTATAAACTGAAATCATGTCAGTCACGACGGAGAAAGAAGAAGAATAAGAAGTGGGGAATGATGTGATGGTGTGAGAAGCCACAGTGAGGCAAAGGCCCCACTGCAAAGGACATCTGCTTGACTTCTTGGCATTTTCTAATGGACATCACACTGCTAACAGACTGCAGATGCGCTCCACGAGAGCAAGTGCAAGCCATGCTGTCGTGCATCTGTTATAATGCTAAGACCTTTCCAATGATATTTGTAGTGATATTTGAACAGGTAAACATGCCCTTAAGTCTGCGAGTAAGAAAGAGCTAACAAAGAGTTATGAGCTGGAATGGGAAAGGCGGTTCTGGTACAGCCAGGGTGTGAGTGCAGCAAATCCTAATGGGGCTCTAAAAGAAAATGTGCTCTCCCTGCTCAGCAGAATAGTTCCACAAGGGTTTTTTCTCACCACCACGAGGAACTGCACTGATGAGAACTCGGTGTTTCAGTGGCTGCAGGACCAGGATGCCTGTGAATATACTTGTGGCTTTTCTTTATACTAATATACTGTTCCTTAAAAAATAAACTCTAGACATCCCCCCTCCCAAAGCTTTTGTGCTCTTAATACAGACCAAAGAACAACACTAACACTTCCTCATGCCAAATAAATTACATTATTCAGTCCTCACAGTTGAGACTAACCTAGTTCTTTTCTACCATGTATTTGAATGTAGTTTTAAATGTCAATTTAATTTAATTTAAATTTCAGTTTTTCAGTCCCTGAAAGTACCATATAATAAATCAACTGAAAACTACACAAAATTATGCCTCTGCCTAAGTCCTAAAATTAGAGTTTGTTTGAAATAATAATTATTCAAATTTACTACGGCTTTGTTCTTTGGTGGTGACTTCCTCCTAACAAACTTGAAACACAATAGGACTCCCAAGGACTGAGATATAAATGTTTGATTTAAACACAAGTGGAATTATTAAGATTTTTCTAGGAGAGGATTCTGTGATTTGGATTATACAAAAGCACTACGTTATGCCTAGAACATGATCCCTTGGGCTTTGTATCACTGGCTGAGTATGATGACATCTTAATGGCTTAGGGAGTTACTACCTGCCAGCTGTGTTTCTGTAACTCAACTGAGTGCATGCTCTTCACTCACCACAACTGCAGGCAGAAATGCTAATAGCTTCCATCCTTATGAACCTAATCCAGTTATGGAGCTTGATGGATGGAAACTCGTGAAGACACCAGAATATTCTCACAGTCTAAGGCTCAACCTCCAGCAAACAGGACTTAACAGGTAATGTCATGCCTCCTTCCTAATTTCTGTTTTTACTGTTGTGTTGGTATACAAACCCTAAAACACTAGGAATCAGCTTTTGATTTCATAATAATCTAGCACTGGTATAACTTCAATGACTTTAGGGGAATTTTTCTAATTTATACTTTTGCCACATCAGATCCTGTGAACTTCATATACATAAAGAGAAGTGGTTATAATATGTAGATATAATTTTCTTTTCTTATACACAATTGATTGTGAAGGAAACTTAATTACATTTAGCCCATCTGTAGTAGTCAGATTAATTAAATATTTCTCTCTGCACTTATCTCTAATTGTAATGTCAACAGAGCTGTCCTAGTCCATGTTATGTTGCCATTAAAAAGGAAAAAGAAAATTGCTTTTAAAACCTGCAGTGAAATGATGTTAAGTGTCTGCCTTAAACTGACAAATTCAAGGAGATTTAGAGTTAAAACTGCCAACTCTTCCAATAACTCACCGTTATTGCAGAATATAAAGCACCCAAAATCACAATACAGGGCAGTTTATACGGAGCCAGTTCACAGAGTGTATCAGAAAATGCTTTACATACATTACAGGCTAAACAGGGTTTTAGTGGACAGATTTAAGAGTGAGTCAGTGGCTTGGACAGCAGGGGAGAGCACTGACAGATGGAAAAGCACAGGGGGGCAGCGATGCCAGCTGTGGGACCTTGTATGGAAAGGATACACACCAGTGTAGGAGAGCAGAGACAGTGGGCAGAGAGACGTTGTTGGACCTCTTGGAAATAAGGTGGAAAAGGAAGGATAAGAGAGGAATTTTGAATGGGGTTCAGAAACAAGGAAACTTTTGCCAAAGGACAGCAGGGTCTTAGAGGCCACAGGATACAAAATCAGAAGGTCTCAAAATATATCTGTAAATGAGGAATCATCACTGAGTCAGAATGTTTCTATTGAGGTCCCACACTGACCTCAGTTCTTGGACCTACATCAAGCTTAATTTATCAATGACCTAGAAAAAACCCAGACAATCATTATACCAAGATTTGGCCCTACAGTTGAGTATGAGATCTCTCCCAGGACAGGTGTGGTCTTTAAGTGTGACACAATTAGGTAATATATACTTCAATGCATCTCAGTGTACAATCTAAGGAAAAAATGTTAACTGTCCTTGGGGGCAGATCACAGAATCACAGAATGGTTTGGATTGGAAGGCACCTTAAAGATCATCTTGTTCCAACTCCATGTCATGGGCAGGGACACCTTCCACTAGACTCAGTTTCTCAAACCCTTTTCAACATGGCCTTGAATTCACTATCTGAATGAGAAAGAGGTTTTTCCTTTTGGGTATCTATAGGCTGTATTTCCTGAAAGAGATGGCAGAGTTATGAGGAAGAGTGGAAAGGAGACGGTAGAGATTACTTGTTACACTTTTGGTTTTTTTTGCTTTTTATAAGAAAAAAATCAAGCACTGAGATGGTAGATATGGCATACAGATACTTTCTGCTTGAGTAGCATCTAGCACAAGGATCTGTGCTGCTTCAGATGAAGTCAGTGGAACAACTGTCTTGAGCAAATACACAAACATTGACATTTTGTGATAAAAAAGAAAGCATACATCAAAACCATAGATTCAAACAGCAGTCAAGGATATGACAAATAAACAGAGACAAATGAATTATGTATCATACCTCCATCATTGTCCAGGTTATCTCCACACACCATTTCCATGACAATGTTACATCCTGAGCCACTCCAGCCCACTTGACAAACACAGTGCCACCCATTCTGATCAAGAGTGCATCTCCCATTTCCATAACAGAGACCTGGGCAACCATCTGAAAAAGAAAATGTAAAAAAGAAGCCTTCATGAAGGAATTTTCTTCTATTTTACAGTTGAAATTATTCATTAACATTCCTACTTCTAGTACTATACTTGCTGCTTTCAAATGATCACACCTGCCTTGCAAGCCATTTAAATTTTTGGCCAAAGATGGAAAAATTCCCAGCCTGGTCTTTCCCTTTGCTTGCCCAAAAGTCATTTCTCAGTGAGGAATGAAGATTTTTTACAGTGTGTAATATTTTGTGCACAGGAAAAAAGTGAGTAAAGTTATAAGTTAAAAAGTTTGCCATAAAGTTATAAAGTGTCCATCTCTTTCTCTGCTTATTGAAAAATAAGCTGTAGTTCACAAAGGAAATCATATACATAATAAAGATTTATATCAAAGATACACATGGACACCATTGCCTAAATGACAAACTGGCATTTGTGGACATAATCCTACACATTGCAGGGAGTGGACGTGACCTTTTTATTCTGTTCATAAATACTCATCTGACTGAGAAAAAGCCAATTTGATTTATGCTACTCTACAACTCTTTCCACAGAAGGCAATTGAGGGAGCATTGCCTTCCAATGTCCCATTCCACTTTCTTCCATTATAGCTGATTCTAAAATGACCAACACGTGCCCTTTAGTGGTGCTGATTCTAGATCAAAGCTGACACAGGGGCTGTAGCATCCTCTGGATTATATACTTGCATGCTCTGAATCAATAGTGATTTGGACATTCACAGCTAGATTTCTTGCCTGCAAGAGTGAGAGAGGAAACGGTCTCTTGGATGTGAACGCTCATGTCCATCTGCTTGCATAGTGTAGTGCCAGCTCAGACATTTGTCAGATCCTCTCCATGTCACACATAGAGCCAAAGGACAATGGATAAAGCTTGGCAATAAGCTTGACAGAGCAAGTGGCATCACTTCTGAGAGGGCTTCTTTTTGCCAGCATGGACATACAGGAACTGAAAGCCCTTCTGCACACGATACTGAACACCAACATGCAGGTGATATCGGAGAGAAATTTTGTTTTGAGGAAGAAAGAAGAAGCCTCAGTTTGCATATGTGTTTGACTGCCCCAAGATGCTCCAAAAGGACTTTGGAAGAGCCAATCCGAGTTTGGTCTGTCAGGGTGTGACAGCCCCACATGCAGCACATGTCCTGGCCACTTTACACGAGATACAGAACCTCTCTCACTCTCAGCACAGTTTATCAATCACATGTGCAAACAGGGGGACCGGAGAGTCTGACTTTCTTTCTCAGAAGGGCTGGAGATGGATGGCACCATTTTCTCACACTGGAATTCTGGAAGATGGTACTCTAAGACAGCAGGAAGTTGGCAACCACCAAATATACTATAAAAGCCAATTATTTCCCTTTTTTGGGAAGTTGGGTGAAAGGGCAGGATGTGAGAACTCTTCTGAGTAATGGGGATGTTTTTCCACTTTGAATCCCTGTCCTGCTGAGTTAATTAATTTCTTGACCATGATTACATTTTGCTGCTGTGTGTGGTTATCCTCTAAGTGTATAATTGTAATCAAATGAATGCCTACCTGCTTTTATTATTACCTAATTCTGAAGAAATAAAACAAGAAACACAAGATAAGCACTCAGGTCTCTCTGAAATAATTATTAGTTTTTTATTTCAGCTAGCAGCTTTTTTGGAAGGGGCTCTGCACAGCTTGGCTCAGGCTGAGGGAGTGCTGTCAGACTCAGGGATGGGACTTGTGCTGACATGAATAAGCAGGACCTGCAGCAAGGCATGGGAATCAAAGGAACAGCACCAGAGACAAAGCAACATAAAATTTAACTCTTGTATCAAATGTTTTGAAGAGAACTAGATCACATCTGGCACAGGCAGCTTTTAAAAAAAGAGTTCTTCTCTATCAAAAGAAACTTATTTCAAGCATCGATGACCAAAAAAAAAAAATTTTTGTTCTCATGGGAGACGGTATCAACACAAGCTTTTTGAGCAAGTCCTCAGCTTTGGCATTATTTTGGGATGGTAAGCAAGAACAAAAAATGAATTTGCCTAACACAGCACATCAGATGGTCACATAAAACATGCTTACATTGCTACAATTTTGCAAATGAGTTGAGTACATTATTTGTTAAAAACTGCATTTTCTGGTGTTAATCTCTGTTACTCTCTGCGTGTGTATATATGTGTATATATATATATCTCCATAAACAAATGTGTTACCTATTGTGGGAACTTAGAAGTACAGAAGCTCAAAAGGGTAACATAAAATGCCCCATTCCCAATATTTTGTGTATTTTCATTATTTTTTTCTCAATGCTGGTATGAAAAAACTTACCTTGAACAGCATCTAAGTAGTGAGCTTAAAAAAGAAAAGAACGAAACTGAGATGGATTGAACTTCTGTACCCAAATGAAAATACAGACACCATTTGCTTATGGCTTGTCACTTATTGGACAGATATAAAATGTCTCCCTCTTCCTGCAAGCAGATCTATTCCTGCTGCTGTGACCAAAACACACTGATTTTGTGATCGTTCTCCATTTGATGACAAGCATGCAGAGGGGCTGGGGCTACACCTGGCACTGCCTACAATGTGAAGAGTAGGTCTATTTATCTTTTTAAGTATATCAGTCCTTCTGTGGACTTATTCTAAACAGTCTTTAGGCTGCTCCCCCTTCTCAAAACTAATTCTTGATTTATGAAATCTGATTAAGTAAATTCTAGAGCCAGGGAATTATCTTAAAACAATCAAGATAAGCATTCTAGATTTTCCAAGAAACAAACATGAGAGTTTATACTGCTTATCTCTGAAAATGAGATACTGCTTTATTATAAACAATTAAAACGTTTATGAATAATCTTGCTTTGGGACATTTCAGGGAGAAACACTATTAGACTTCAAAAACCTGTTGTTTTTCATTAAAAATATAACTATTGCATTTATGTAGTAGACTAAAAACATCTAAAAAGATCTGAAAGCTTTACCTTATTAGGAATATTGTTAGAAGCCAGCTCTAGAAAAAACACCGTTAGTAGTAAGTAGAATATGTAAATTCTCAGACAGAAAGGTAAGAGATTTAATGCAAGAATTACTTTAGGTAAATAATAGCTTTGTTCCCTCACACCTCCTATTTTTTAAACACTTTTCCTTTCTGGCTTCAAAGTTCATATATGAACACAACTCAAAGACATGTAAGGACTGAGATATCTTTCCTTTTTGGTTTTGTTTTAGAAAACTTAATTAATCTCCGTTATTTCCTCTATACAGAAAGCTGTGCCAAGCTGCTATTCTGTGGGACAAGCAGGGTGCAGAGGCACCTTTTTACACCTAGATTCTGGCTGGATTCTGGGACTCTGTTTTTCCAACATGACTCCAAACAGAACGATGGCTGTGGCAGATCTGTGTAGAACTGAGATTTTATGTATTTTATTTCTTGGGGTACAAAACCCCCTTACCAATGGTGCAGTGGTCCCCTTCCCATCCAGGGCTGCACTCGCACTTCCCGTCCTTGCACTGCCCGTGCTCGGCACAGTGAGAGTGGCAGGTCCGTTCTTCACAGGTTGGTCCTACCCAGCCCTCTTCACACTGGCATATCCCTCTGGAGCACACACCGTGACTGCCACAGTCCAGGGTACACAGCTCTGCACAGGGGAGCAAAAACACACCACTGAAACATCAGTTTCATTGTGCAAATAGACTTTGCATCAAGGCTAAAACCCTTCTGTACTGGTATCACTCGTCAATCGGATCAAATATGGGATTTCATCAACCAGAATTACGGACCTTGTGCAATCTGGCTGCCTCCTTCTTTAGCAGTTACTTCCCAGATCATTTATTTGTTTGGGGTAGGGACTGCAAATGATGTCTTTGCAGACAGTAGAGTAATAGGTCTAAAACAGACGAACAATGACACAAAAAAGTCCTTATCTTTTGACTGATTTCTGCTGAGATTAAATTCTGAAACTTCTTATAAACTGAAATACTGCAAGGGAACTGAATTAGAGGATAAAGTGGCATATAAAATACACACAAGTAAACCAGTTTTTGACATATTCAGATGTTTGCAGTGATGACAAAGTGGCCTTCCCCTACAGTACAGAGAGCCAGCAGGAAGGTAACAGAGAGCAAGAGGCAAGGCAAGCACCCCTCTCTGATAGCAATATACGACGTTACATGACTTGCATCTCCCTAGTTCTAAAATGCCTTTCAAGGATTCAAACTTTTCTTTTCCTCCCTGACTTCTGTGAGCAAACTGACAAGAAACCAGGAAAGCTGTTTCAAGACAGGAATACCTCCACCATTGCCCTCAAAAGACTTTCTCTACGTGGGTACTGTAGAACAGCCCTGATTGTGAAGTAGTATGGAAGTCCTGAATTGTTTCAATGCATCACCATATGCCAATTGCAATTCTACTTCCACTTAGACTAAAGTCATTCTGTGAAAAGAATGGCTTCATTATAGAAAGGTTCCATGTAGTTTGAATTTATTTAGAATAATTAGTGTAAAGAGACAGAATTTGCTCGTTATCCTGCAATTAACCTGCTACAGAAATGTCTCCTCCTTCTTCCTCTTGGAAAGCAGCTGATAGCACTTCAAGTGCAAGCCAAATATTCGTGTCTGCTCTGATTTCAAATGTCAGTGTTACATATTTAGTTGTGGCAAGATTTTTCCCTTGACAGATCTTAAACAATGATCGTTTAGATCTTGGAACTATTGTATATAAACATTCTTAAAAGCATTTGCAGTGACAAATGCTGTCACTTATATACCAAGAAAAGTTTTTAAAGTTTAAATTGAAATCTTATCAATCCAATCACTTTAACACAAAGAAAAAAGCAGCACAGAAATGGAACAGTGACATCACAGGTGTGCTGGGCTCTGTCCTGAGTCAGAGTTTAGCCCTTATTTTCATTAATAGCCAGGGTGATGGCACAGAGTGCAATTAAAATGATCAGTGAGTGACAAACTGCAAGAGCATGGTCAAACCCAAAATCAGAAGCAGAAGTAGAAGGCATGGTAAAGAACCTCAGACAAAATTCAGTAAAAGCAAATGTGAAGTACTGTCCTTAGGAAGTCAAAATCAGCTACATAAAAATAATTAAATTTACTATTCAGACAGGGACTTGTGTTATACTGGAATATGAGATAAAAATAATTATCTGATGATATGATCCTATGATATTCCTGTAAAAGAATATGTAAGACAAGGAAGGAGACTGCTCTGTCATATTCAAATGCAAAACTGTGCTAAGTCTGGGGCCTTATCCCTTAGAAAGTCCTGATTGCTGCCTGCTGATCTTGTATTAATCTAATACTTCATGCCTTGGACTGCCTGTCTGCTGGTACTGGGAAGGATTTCTTTCCCCTTGCTGCATAACTTGTCTTGGCTTTTTTGTTTTGTTACTTTTTTGTTCATTGGAAACCTGGGAGATCGCTCAGAGGAACATAGGGGATATTGCTCTGTTATTCCATTGATACTGAAGTTGTCCAAATACTTGCTCCTGTGATCAAGAAGTAAACTGATCCCACCATATCACAAAATAATCATCTCCAGGCCAGACTTGCAGAGGACTATCGATATTATTTTAACCTATCTTTACAGCTTGGGGTATGGGCTAACTCCTGAGAATTAAATCTAACAAATTACCTGCTTCTTCAAGGATTTAGATTGCTAGAGGGATGCCTTTGATCTCTCTTGATCTCCCTCTAGTTCATTATAATTATTGCTTTTGATATTTTACTTTAAGTAGCAAAGATTGTTAAGAGGATATTAAGAAATATTCTGTAGTTTACAGTATGTCGAGCTAAGTGGAGCTGATGGGCTTTTTGACCCTCCTGGACTGAGTGCCTATTATATGGATTTTTGCAATTGTAGGGCTGGTTTAGTTCAATCGATCCCCAAAGTTCAGTGACGATTGTAGGAATTGTTATACAGAAGTGGCAATGGCACAGAGCCCGCGACCCTGTCAGCAGCTCTAGCAGCTCCTACCACTTCTCTATCTGTAAACAGACCTAAGAACCAGCTGTGGAAAACCTTGAACACATTCCCACACACGGCATGGATGGCTGCCTCACCCGTCTGTCTACCCCACAGAATCTAATCACGACAAACTCATCTTGCAAACAAACAAGAAATAACGGCACGGAGCTGAAGGCATTGTAGGCACATCTCTACCACAGGGACATAGATACATCTTGGACATGTTCTCCTTTTAACACCACAAAATTAAAGAGATGTTAAAATGTTTTAAAGTTTTCCAATGTTTTCCCCATGTTTCACACAAGGAATAAAATGTTTAAACATTATTTAAGCTTCAAATTTTTAATGAAGTGGAGATACAAGACTTTCTATCTCATAAAAAATATACCAGGTCAGCCTGTATACATTCTTCACTCATGAGGCTCCTTCTTTTTGGTTCTATTTTCCCAAATAAGATCATGCACAGACAATCAAATTTTACTCTATTTTTCTGCCTATTGGAATATGGTGCCTACCTCAATCCAATCATGCTGTCTTGGAAAGACAACACAGCAACACAAGTTCTGGACCCCAAACTGGCTTTGTGTGACAGGAAATGTTAGGTTAGCTGTTCTGCACCAAGGTATTCAGTTTTCACACCTCATTTGTGACAGCAAGTCACAGTAGCTGTGACTCGGACCTGTTCCAGTACAGGAATACCAAAATGACTTTACCTACCTCTTGTCTTTCCTTCTAGTAATGCATTTTTCCCACAAAAGATTGAATCTAAGTGTTCTTTAATGCAACTCAAACCCAATTTTGTGAGTACCAGGTGATATGAGACCTGGTTTCTTAGTCTGGATCACACACTTTCCTCAGCTCCCCTCGATGTCCTGTAGCTCAGCCAACCTTGAGAGTTACATTCTTTCTGGTGATTTCATATAAGGCTTCAGAAATGCTGTTTACCATGATAATGTATTCTTCTGCCACACAAATCCAAGATTCTCCACAGACTCCTCACGCAAAGAAAGGGAAATCAAGCCTAACATCATCCTATTAATGCTGTGGTAGAACATGCAGCTTTAATCCACAGCTAATTCAAACAACTAAGATCAAAAAAAGCCTTATTAGTTCAAGTTGTCCTGTTTTTAAATGCAAAACTATTTCTTAGCTCCTCCTGTAGATAAACAAGCCCAGAAATATCAGCATAGCAGGGAGCCACATTAGCATTTGCGTTTGTATTGAGAGATGGGGTTTCTACAGCAGACCAGCCAAACTGAGATACTCAGTGAGTGGTCAAGGACCAACTGCAATGGGAAATTATACAGTAATTTTGACTGGGCAAAGAGCCTCAAGTAAAGCTGATGCACTAAAAATTGAGACAGTGGTCAAGTTGGACAGCAAGTCAGGCAAGATGTAACTGTTCAGATCACTGGATTATCTTCCTCCTTCCAAACCAGCGGGTCCTACAGGACATAGAAGCAACCCGAAATGCAGCAGGGCCAGCACAGAAGGGAAAGGGTTTTGAGTTGTGGGTCAGTGCAGCAGCTGAGACAGCCAAAGATGTCTCCTCTGACTGAAGCAACTACTCCATTCCTCCTCACCATCCATCTCCCAGCTCTGCGATCCCTGCCTGGAGCATCTGAAAGTGGTGAGCTGGTTCAGATCATGGACCTGTCAAATAATTATTCAGTTTATTTTCCTGGGTTAATACCTGACAGCTTGCTGAGCCAAATCAGCCCAATGAGGGACCAAAGAAGCAACACAGGCAAGGCAAGGGAGGAGATGCAGATCACAGCCTGGAATGGGACTGTTGTGCTGAGGAGCCACAAGCTGAGCCATCATCTGACTGCAAAGGACACAAGCAAAGAGGAGGTGACTTATGCAAGATAACAAGGGAGGCAGGTGGCAGGTACACTTTGGATTAGTCAGCTTGAGGATATTACATCACAAGCCTTTAATTATTCTGTTCCATTAATCATCAGTCATTCTCACAATGTACAGTGCCACACTCCCAATTCTTTAAGTTCCTCAATTGTGTTGGTGTTAAGGCTCTAAGCCCTCATGGCTTAGAGGGATATACACCTGCCCAGCTTGCCTGCCTGAGCTCTAGGCAGACCTTGTGGACTGGGGTGGGCTGCAGTCTGATCTGTGGCTCGGAGACCAGCTCTTTAGCAGCTGAGAATTTTCATGGCTCCCATGAAACCAATAGAGTCAGCCTAACTCAGTAACTCATGGCCCTGCATCAGTTTTTGTACCTGTACACTTTGAAATCAAAACAAGGCTCTCTAAATGCAGGGCTGGAAAGTTAATTTTCTTTCTGAAACAAGCTCAGCCATGCAGAGTCACTGCAAGCCCCGTGCTGGCAGAGTGCCGGGAGGCGGCCTCAGCCGACCCCAGCTTCTCCCAGACTTTCATCAAATACAGTTTTCATCAAATGTAAAATTCAGAGTCCTTGGTTTTACACCAATTAATGTATAAAAGACTTAAAATATATTCAAATCAGTCTGGAATTTTTACTGACATGTCCTTAATTCTGAATGCTCACTAATTTCTTGGAAGAAGGCAAATGTGAGCTGTGAAGCATTATTTGTACATAATCTTGAGAAGGAGACAAATAGTTGATCATTCCTGAGTTAATCTAAAAAGCATTAAAAATTCACTCCACACTCTTCATTTTAA